CCCTGAACATGACAGGCTCTACAAAATTTGGCCCCTCAAACTACCTCACTGAGAAATTTACAGATGTGTATATGCCCCAGCAATTATAAGTCCCTCATTCACTTTACTGACCGCCTTGTATTCAAACAGTATATTCCCAGCAAGCATGCCAGATATGAGGTCAAATTGTATAAGCTCTGTGAGAGGGCCACAGGCTATATGTACAAATTTAGGGTTTATGAGGGAAGAGACAGCAAAGTAGAGCCCCCGACTGAGGAGCAGTGGCAAGATCGTTCGAGTCTTGGTGCGGTCTTTGTTACGCAAGAGGTACCACTTATACATGGAAAATCTACCTACAAGCATGCCACTATTTATACAATCTTGCAATTAAATTGTGTGGCACCGTGTGACCTAATCGCCAGGGCTTCCCCCAACAGCTTGTAAATACCCAACTTAGAAAGAAAGAGAAAGCCTGCTTGAGGACTGATAAATTGCTCGCAGTGAAGTGGAAGGACAAAAAACGGGATGTTTTCATCCTATCTTCCATTTACGCAGATGCGACAGTCCAAATTAACACGGTGGAGGAGTGGACTTCAAACAACCAAATGAATCCCTACCTAGTTTCCCGGAAAGCTCGACTGGTACAAAAATGTGCCTATTTCAATTGGCCATATATAACGCTTTTGTAATTTACAATGCAACTGGATCCTTCCTAAAATTTCAGGAAGAGATCATCACGGCCCTTTTGTATCCAGAAGATGCTGTAGCCCACTCCTCAAATCCAGATGCAGTTAGCCGACTACATGATAGGCATTTCCCGAATGTCCTCTCTGGTACCCAAACCCAAAGGTCACCCCAAAGATGTTGTGGCTGTAGCAGACACGGAATAAGATGCAACTCTATCCTGGCCAACCTGGTCTCTGCCTCAAGTACTGCTTCCATACACTAGTGGAGTATTAGTATAGGGTACAGCATGGCACAGTTAAGGGCACATATTCAGGAAAGAACTGATTGGAGACCAGAATGGTGCTAATCATCTCTACAGTCTAAGAAATCGAAGCTAAGAGCATTTCATCACTCCTGTTTTGCAGGATATAAACAGCGCCATTTGTAAATTGGGAAAGCATCTGATCACACCGATCTTGGTGAGATTAGATAAGAGGAAATTATCTGTGATGTCTGATAGACCCCAGATTTTTCTCAAAAAAAAAAAAATGTGCTTTTGAAAAATCGCGCGAGTACAATGCGACATAAAAAATTGCAGCACCAACCATTTTATTCACTGGGGTGTCAGTTTTAAAAAAAATATATATATGTTGGGGGTTCAATGTAAATTTCCTAGCAAAAAAATACTGATTTTTTTTTCAAAGTGAAGTGTCAGAAAAGGCTTGGTCTTCAGGTGGTTAGAATATTGAGTGATGTGTGTCAAACTTCTAATGCTGGGCATAAAATGCCCCCACCCTCCAAAACAACCCCTTTATGGAAAGTAGACACCCCAAACTATTATTTTCTGAGAAGCATGTTGAGTCAATAGAATTTATTTTTTTTTTAAACACAAGTTTTTGGAAAATGACAACAAAATAAATTTACAGAAAATTGTCACTTAAATGATTTACTGCTCACACATGCCACGGGTATATGTGGAATTACTCCCCAAAATACATTTTGCTACATCTCCCGAGTATGGGCGTACCACATGTAAGACTTTTTGGTAGTCTAGCCAAGTACAGGACCCCAAAATCCAATAAGCACATTCAGGCTTTTAAAGGGCTTTATTTCCTCATTACACTTCCTTACTACCCATCACAGTTTTGGAGGCCCTGAAATGCCAGGATAGCACCAAACCCCTACCCAAATGACCAGTTTTAGGTGGCACTGACTGGCATTGATGTGCACCAACAGGGGGCACTGCTGGGGCTACACTGATCAATCAGGGCACACTGATCATCAGTGCCCTGATGATCAGTGTACATGTCCCCTTTGAGTAATGCCGATTATAGAAGCGCCGGGGGCATCCCCTTCCGCTAACTGTAAAAGCAATCCAGCAGCTAATAAGCCACTAGGATGGCTTTTACATTACAGGGAATCTGCGGCTGAAAAAAATATAAATAAAAAATATCTGGATTATGCTTGTAGCTGCAGGCATCATCCAGATATCTCCACTCAAAGTTCACGACGTCACATGATGTCATGTGGTTAAAAGCAGTTAAACAGCCTGTAGCTTTTGCTGCCTGTTACTACTGTTGATCCAGTGGTGTCCTGTCCCCAAAGCAAAGTCCATGGAAATGCCAAGTATTTGTAATGTACCACATTACATAGGATATACACAGCTGCACATTCAGTGCTAAAGACTGAACAGGTAGGCAAGTTCATTTCATTGCAGGGGAGAAATAGCATGCCTCCTGTGCAATCAAGATTTTTATTTTTTTTTTAAATACCTGTACCTGACCAAATTGCAGCCCCTGTTCACCCAGCAATTTTCCACATGGCTCCAACAATGAAGGATGTCCAGTGGGAGGGCACCAACAGGGCCACCCACAAATTGAATTTGACGCTTGAAAGGGAATTGCAGTGCATCTTCAGTGAGCTTACATGTTGTATTATTCCAGCATTTACCCTAAAGTGTAACTAAAGGCAAACTCTTGTTTTTTGTCTTGGATAAGGTGGCAAGATATTAGAACATCTGTCCATTTTTATTGCTGCCCTGTGCCCTTGTTAGAAAGATTCACCTTCTGACAGACCTAACTGGAACAGGGCTTTTGGAGGGGACTAAGCTAGCCTTCTACCCACTGATTATGGCCCATAGAGACCAGGGATTTTGTCTGCTTCTCCCGGTCAGAGCATGGAAAAGAGCTCAGTTCAGCCTCTGATCCCATGGAGAGAGCAGGTCATTCTCTAATGAAGGACAACAATGTGATGAACTGGACTGGTTGAGTGATGTCGCCCAAAAAATGGGTCACAGGAGTGCAGAACGAACTGCACTCCTCTGATACACAGAAGTACAGGCAAAAGAGCTTTGGTTGTACTTCTATAAAGTTTGCATTGCTTTGGATAATGTGATGAAGCCCTCATATGATTTTGTGTGGTATATAAATTCTGTGTGAATTTTCAATAAAGCAGTTCTGTTTGCACCTAAGCTAGTGTCGTCTAGTTCTTGGGTGCAATTCCCTGCTATAATACCTCCTGTGTTTCAGAAGAAACTGCTCTCTGGCAGAGGCACTCAGGCGGGGTTCCTCCAGGTGGTATGTCACACACCTTATTCATCTCAAACTTTGGGCTGACATCAGGACTGTAATAGTGGGGACATTTTCCAATAGGGAGACTAGTTCTGGTGACAAGGGATTCCCTCACTTGAGAGGGATTTCCTCACTGCCTGTTGGGACATGAAGTGAAGTGTAACCTCGAGAGGATACAGAAGGAAAAAAACTGACAAAGTTTTGCCATGTTTTACTTTAAAATAAAGCTGAATCTGGTAATGTGCAAGTCAAATATAAAATACTTTAGCCATTAAAATGTAGCCAACTAAAGATTAATGACTAAATGCAGCATAGATTAGCTCCAATAACCAACCAACTACCACTAACCACCTTCCCCCTGCCCATTCCCTATTCAGATTGCTCAGATTCACTTAGATTGGAAATATTTAGATAACCTTTGTGAAAAAAGTCATTTTATTACTTCTGGAACAGAATGAACACAAAATAGATTTACTTTTGAAAAGCACAACAGAAAATAATTACATTACATTATACACACACACTTATGGTAATAACCGTATGAAATTAAATCATGCAACAAAACGTGAACTCTTATGTAAACATGGAAGGTGCCAAGTTCAATGTAAAATGTATCATTTTAAAACAATTAAAAAAATTATAGGGGAAGAAATGTATTTATAACTTTTTTTTTTTTTTTTTTTTAGGGGAATAAGAAATGTATAACTTTTTTTTTAGGGGAATAAGAAATGTATAACTTTTTTTTTTAGGGGAATAAAATGTATTTATAACTTTTTTTTTTACAATATGCATGTTAAAATCAATTGACTGCACATCACTTCAAACTTACTAAAAAAAAAACAAACACAAAAAAAACGCACAACACACTTTTCCAACAAATATAAAGTATTTGCAGAAACCCTTAAAACATTTGAGATGGCAATGTCCTGTATGTGAATGCAGAGGATACCATAAGTGTGCCATGGTCTCATACAGCCAGAAATGCAATCATTACACACCAGTCTTTGCTTCACTCTACAGAGGTGCCAGGTTGCAGGAAACCATGCATGGTGCTAGCTCTCACAATCCCTTGTAGAGCATTGTATTTAAAAAACGAATTGTAGAAATGGAGTTGTGGGCTGCAGCAGATAATCACATTTCAATTGCCAGATATATGAAAAATGAATGCAGACATACTGAAATATTAACCTAAAGCTAAAAACAGTCTTGAGATGAACACAAAATAATAGAAGAGGCTATATAAGAACCCTGCTTCCAGCTTCCTCTACTGCTATGAATTTAGTCACATGATCACTACTGAAGGGGAGGGTCAGAGTTTAGACTGGATGTCTCTCCTGTCCAGCAGACATCACATTACCAAATGCCTGGGAAATTGTTAATGTAGCCATGACTATAGGGAGCCATGAAATACAGAAATTACAAGTATCTCAATACTTCTGTTTCACTATATGCATCTATCCCAGAGGACGGTTAACAAAAAACTTAAATCTGACATTTAGGTATAGTCCAACATGGAGACAAGACATTTATCTGATGGATATGGGCAACTTGTTTGTTTTTTTTTTTTTAAACACCACTGCAAATCAAAAGTACAAAGCAAAACCCAAACTTTACATCAATCCTAAAATACAAAATGTACTAATTTTAAAAAACTTTATAAAATACTTCTTGAAAAATACATTCAGTGTGAAAATCGATAGCAGCTGCATCCAGAAAAATGTTCATAAATAAACCTTTGTACATTTCAACACAAATATACAAAATGGAAAGATCACTGCATCCAATTTACTGTGTAGAGTTTGAGTCCAGTTCACTACTAGATGTAAATGGAGAGTCACTTTTCATGGCTTCCCTTGCCTTTATCCTTGTACATTTTGGGCAATCGTCAGTCTTGAAGCATTGTTTGTGATAGCATGCCTTGCAAACTAGATTACAAAGAAAAAAAAAAAATGGTAGAAATGTAAACCGTTATCTGGAAAGGCAACAAAAAGTGAAAAGTGCAATTATCCCTTGAGAATCACTCCCAATCTACTGTAAACTGCAGGAAAGCTAGAACATACTTGGTGGCCAAGGGCAAGCACACTGTTGTGCATGTAAATAGAGTTTTCAGCCTAGCACAGCAGATTGAGTATAACATTTTTCTAAAGGCCTTAAAAGAAAAAAAAAAAAAAAAAAAGCAATACAAAGTTCTATTGGTTTGTGTTATGCCAAATAGATTCTATAATGACTTTTAAAGTGGTATTAAACCCAAAAATTTTATATTGCGGCTTACCAATCAGTTGTGGCTGCAGGTTTTTTTTTTTTTTTTTTTTTTATAAATTTTTTTTCCCCTGTTTTCACCTGGTTATCTGGCCAGTAACACCTCCTGTATTATAGTGTCCCCACCCTGAATTAAGGAGCAACAGAGACACCTTCTGGGGGGGGGAGAGGAAAGTGTTATGCCAGGTACACATTGGCAGAATATTGGTCAAATTCAGCCATTACTGTGTGTACAGCTGCTTGTCTGACAGAAGCAGCTCCATGACCGGCTTCTATTGAACAAGCATGTTTGAAAACCAGAAGCCGATTGGTATCCGGGCAGCGCTTGCAGCTGTAAAAAAACTGAAGCCAAACTCCAGCTAATGCTTTATAGGCATTTACAGCAGTTATGTTCCTTTTGGGATAAAAGGTTTTACATAAATAAAAGCTAATCTTTGTAAGCACCCGTCAGTAGTAGTAAATTGACCTGCAGTTGTAGCAGATGGTTGAGACAAACCGCTTGTTCTGTTGAAAAAGACTTACTGGCAAGATCACCAGGTGAATATAAAGGAAACAAAGGCTAAAAAAGAAAAACGAAGGCAGCCAACACATTTAAAAATTGGTAAGCTGTAATAGAATAAATGTTTGCTTTTGGGTTTATTAACACCAAACACTCTGCAACTGTCTTTACAGAAATGCATGCAGAAAAAAAAAAAAAACATCAATGCAGCAAACCTCTACACAAGAATGGAGAAGATGGATTCTATGTACAATACACACCTTCACATCTTCTACAGGTTTCTGTCTGGAATGGAAAGATCACATCAGGATGTTGGCAAAATTCACACATATAAACCCTTTGGCTTGACACAACTGGAAAACAAAATCGTTACAAATTACTGACCTTTAAAATAAAAGCATCAGGTTAGAGGAAAAAGGCAGTTAATACAGTTAGCCATAGTATGACTTTCAACAATGAAAGCCTCTAAAGCTGAAGTCCAAACAAAAGTGATATTTCAATCTTGAACAATTGTCATTGGAAGTTGAATGTCATACTGGCTGCTAAAATATCTAATGAATTTTGAGGGAAAGATCTATCCACCAAATGTCCTAGTTCAGCTAAAACAGTTGTGGCTGTTACAAAGCCAAATGCTGGTTTTATGCACTGTCTTTTTAAGGTGAACATGGTCAAGAACTTTCCCTTTGCTTCTTTCTGCTGGCAAACTTCTCAAAGCCTTACAATACAGTGGTTGCAATTCGAATTTCTATCAGCAGGTGGTGCTGTATGTACAATCCAGTCCAGGTAAAAATGGTGGAGGTACTTGAACTAAAGGAGTACTTCTCAACCCTTATGCTACCAAAATTGGCCTCCAGAAGGGACATATTGACAATCCGGTGTAAAGCAACTAAACCTGTATAAACAAATTACCAATGCCAATATGCACAACATTTGCCACAGTAATCACAGTTTATCAGCAAAGAAAAAACAATTGAAAAAGATTAACAATTGCACAGTACGTGTAATTTATCATGATAATTCAATCTGGAATACGATCTAAAACTGCCATAAAGTAGGTTACTTCCTCTTTGTAGAAATCCGTTATTAAACTTGTACTTATGGTTGCTCTCTCTCAGTAATTCCCACTTACAAGTACACATTAGGTTTTTGCTGGCACCCATCCCACACTGCAAAACAGCAGGTCAGTGCTGGCAACAATGAAGGCATTAGGACTTTGAGAACTAAAACCACTCTGCAATCATGGACAAGCTGTAGATACAGTACCAAGAAGAATCTACATAGGCTCCAATTAGCAGAAGATAATTAGCAGTAATATGAAAAAATGTGCTGCTGCACTTATGAATATATCAAATTCTCAACTGCAGCAGTCCTAACTTGTGAACTTTGCCCCAGCCAAATGCCTACAAAAACAAAAAAATAAATTGCAGTCTTGGCCATTTCAGCATTCCAGAAATGCAGTCATTCTGAAAGAGGATTCAAACTGCTTGACTGAAAAACTAGGCAATGCTTTGCATCTACACGTGTATAATCTAGAACAGTGGTCTCCAAACTTCGGTCCAGGGGCCAGATGTTGCCCTTTTCATGCTTTTATCTGGCCCTTGGGCACTATTCCACCAACTGACACCAATGATGGAGCTCTATTCCCCCCTACTGAACCATCAATGGGGTAGTACTATTCTCTATTATAGTATTATATGAGATAATCAATGGGGCACTATTCCTCGCCTTAAAACCAATGATGGGGCACAGATGCTGGGGCATTTTCTGCAACCACTGGGCACAGTCTGGCCCTTGTAAAGCCTGAAGGACAGTAAACTGGCCCTTTGCTTAGAAAGTTTGGAGACCCCTGATCTAGAACATGGGTTCTCCAAATTTTTTAACCAAAAGGGCCGGTTTACTTTAGCAGGCCAGGCTGTGGCCAGTGGAAGTAGAAAATGTCTTGATGTCAGTGGTAGTAAACAACGCCCCATCTTTTGCATCAGAGTTGTAGTGTCCCATCGTTTATGTAAGTGGGAGGAATAAGGGTCCATTACCGTCGGTGGGAGGAATAAGGGTCCATTACAGTCGGTGGGAGGAATAAGGGTCCATTACCGTCGGTGGGAGGAATAAGGGTCCATTACCGTCGGTGGGAGGAATAGCGTGTCATTTATGTCAGTGGAAGGAATAATGGTCCATTGTCAGTGGCAGAAATTATGCCCCACTGTTGGTGTCAGTGGGGAGAAAAAGGTCAAAGGGAAGAATGAGGCCCCAAGGCCCAAATAAAGGTAAACAAAGGGCCACATCTGGCACCGGGCTGCAGTTTGGAGACCACTGACCTAGAATAAAGTTTTCAGCAACTGTTGCTATTCTAGGTTGATCTCAGTAAAATCGCCAGGATAACCACCAGCTTCATGTAAACCGATTGAGAAAAATGAGGAACTAGCCATAATAAGAGGACTTTACCTCTTCAGCAGTCCTGCTGTCTACAGAGAGTGTGCAAACAAAATAGGTTTCACTAAAGGGTTACCAAGTGCCACAAGACACAAAAGGATTAAATTCTGTAAAAAATAGTAAATTATATTTGGCAAGCAAGAAACTGTATAGATGGCAACTGTAAATCTTAAAATGAACATTGTGCAAATAAACAAATTACAAAAAAGCCACCAAAAAACACACGAACGTTAAAGAGGAACTTCACCAAAAAGGGGTTTGCATGTTCTCCGTGCCTGCACGCGTTGCCTCCAACACTCCAAAGACATGCTGGTAGGTTAATTGGCTCTAGTATGTGTATGTATGAATTGTGAATTAGGGACTTTAGAATGTAAGCCGCTGGAGGGCAGGGACTGATGTGAATGTACAATATGTGTATGTAAATCGCTGCGTAAATTGATGGCGTTATACAAGTACCTGCAATAAAAGGGGAAGTTTCACTTTTATGCCAGAAACTCGCAGCCTGAACCACATTCCAAATAAGAGAGATTATCTATTGGTGAACTGCAGCCAGAGGCAGAGAAGGCTGAACAAAGTGCTGGTTGAGGTGAAAGGCAGAAAACCTTGGGCAAGAAGGAAGTCCTGTGCCTCAAGACCACCTTGTCCCTAGGCAAAACCAGAAAAAGGTTCCTTGCAAGATAAAGCTGCCAGGTCAGTTTAGTTGTAGAGAAGAGCACTCAGATCTAAAAGGCAACAGACAGCAGAAGCTACATGAGGGACCTTCCTGTACAAAGGTCTCAACTAAAAAGAAGCCAACAGTCACAAAGGATGTAACCCTGGCCCTATATAGTGCCGAGAGCCACACGCTGGTCCAGAACTAACTGCAGCAAGGAGATCAGTGCCACAGAGAATTTTCTAAGGTCCTGAGACTCTCAAATTGAGGTATGCCTTACGACAGACCTTGTGAGAGGTAGACTTCCTTGATCTTGCAGAAAATCAGACTGAGATGACTGTCCCCTCAGAACTTGGGCTTTAAAACAGCCATGGCACTAAAGCCAGCTACCATGAAGTTGAATGGAAGATCAGTCCTTTGAAGAGAAAATCCTGATGCCCACAGAGCATTTGCCATAAGTCTTAAGAGGTTGGTGCACCACTCCAGCCTGGGCATGTCCAGAAAAATAAGGACTACAGGAATAACCTTCATCTCCCTCTGAAGTTTCACACGCATAGATCAAGATGTATTGATCCCACTGATTCACCAGAGCATCTACCGTTGACATAAGATCCCTGTACCTGAAGACAAACGTGTCAAAACTGTTGAACCTAGGAGAGAGAAGTCTACAAAACAGCATTCCCCAGCGGCAACAGGTTCTGGGATACACCTCTGGTGTAGGGATCACTCCCTTCAGTCCAGGCAATGCCAGCTGAGAAATGCTGCCTGCCAATAGTCTGTCTGGAATGTACATGGCGGGCAAGGCTGGAACACAAAGTTCTGCACAGGAAAGGATCCAATCTACCTCTCTTGCTATGGAGAGACTTGTTTCTCCTCCATGATGATCGATAGATGACATTGCTGCCATTACATAGTTACTGTGACAATAAAAATTGCAGTACAGTAAAGAAATGTGTGCATATACAGCTGCTAGCCCAAATGGTACAAAACAATTATACAATGAGTGCTGCACTTATCAAAAACAATATTAAACAATGTTAACAAAATCAAAAAAAGGTATCAGTATCATTACAGTGAAAGAACACCGAATTGCTGATCACAGTTAAAACAAAAAACCTATTGTGAAGTAATGCGCTGTTGGGGACCGACATCTTGACCGGGTCATTGCATGCCACTTGAATCCATCTGGCTGGATTGGGAATTTTGTCCTTTCTGTGGATTTGACCATTGTTGTGAGGGTCAATGTGCCAGGTGAGAGCACCTTTGGGAGACTCGGTGGAGGATTTGTGTTGCTTATCTGCAGAAAGAATAGCATTCACTCCGAACACTGGCTATGGACTTATGTGGACTTTGAAGTTGGGGGGGGGGAGTTGGACACTGGTCCGGCTAGTGCCAAATTCAGCAACCAGTAGATCACGATCTACCAATAGATCGCAGCCAGGTGATTGTTAGATCACAGTCAAAGCTTGCTGACCCACCATTCCAAAGCATAAAACGGAGTGCAATGAAGAGGGACTACTTGTAAAGTTGGAGCTGTAGTAGGGAGCAACAGCCACACAAGCTGAAGCCTCCTCTGTAGTCCTGGCTCCTATCCCATGTGGAGTGATACCAACTGCACTCCACCTTTTCTCTCTCAGCTAGCAGTCTCCAGAGTGGTACCAGCAGCAGGAAAGAAGAGATCTTTAGGTCAATGTGCAGCAATACACTGGGAATAATAGTACAGGGCTGCTTTCACACCGATGTGCTGCGGTTTACCCACACAGCTTTCCTTCTATTATACCCTATGGGTCTGGTGCACTTTCTGCCAAAGCATAGCTAGTCCAGGAAAGTCGCAGATGCACTGTGCTGAACTCACGGTGCAGGTAATCTGCAGCACATCAGTGTAAAAGCAGCCTTATAGGGGCCTCAGAACAGTAAGCGTTCATTTAAATTTGCAGTTTAGGATGTGGTAAAACCCCAGAGTTTCAGACGTGTTTTTACCGCCTCAACCCCAACTGCACCCCCTTTAGCTGCAGTGGCCAGGGGTGTACACGTCGCAGTTGGAGTTATTAACTATTATGGTTGGTAGGTATAGCACCTGCCAATCATGACCCATTCAAGTGAATGAGGCCACTCTGCAAGTGCCCTGCAACCTTGTGCAGTACAGCAAAAAAGGAGTTAAAGCAGGCAGCATTTTGTTCCCATCCGACCACATGCTTTAACCCCTTGGACCTCCTAGAAGCACAGTTGCGGTGCACTTGCAGAGTGGCCACATTTACGTGCATGGGTCGTGATTGGCAGGCGGTAGCACCCACCAAAAGCTACATGGGGTTTAATTCCTGCTGTGGCATGCGTTCACTTTTAGCTGTTGCCTCAGCAGCTAAAGGAAGTAGGGATTGGGGACGGTAAAACCACAACTCAACTGCAGCATTTTACCACACCCCAATTTTACATGTTAATGAGCCTAAGGGTGCTGCTGCTGAATACAACTAAGGGCTCATTCATAAGTGCAGACTCCTTTGAAAAGACAGGTGGTGAGGAGGAGATAGGTTTCCTCCTCACCACCTGATTTAACCCCATGATTGCCCTGCAATGCACGCAATTGTGTCACAGTAGTACAGCAATTAGGAGGTGTGAGGAGGTGACACTCTGCCTGGTGAGCTTTGACTTCTCCCATGTTGTTCAGGTAGATCTCCACCTCTAAAGGGTTGCCTACCCCTAATCTAGTGCAAAAAAAAGGAGGAAAAAAAAAAAAAAAAAAAGAAAAAAAAGAGAAAAAAAAATAGAAAATCTACATATACACAATCCTATAACCACAGTTGATCTAGATGAAGGCAACAAAACCCCAATAAGCCTAGGTTCATACTATTGCAGGCCATGCAGCCTGCATTTGCTTGGGCACGGCAGCCCATTCATTTGAATGGGTTGCTGTGCCCACATTTCCCACAGGAAAAAAGTGGTGCATGAACCTTTTTAAAAACACAGGGAAACCGCATGGGCTTTGACCATGAAATTTCACAGCAGTATCTGCACACGCACTACAGGCTGGGATGGATGAATGGCAGCCCTGTGTATCTCATAAGAGCAGCGCAATTTGGCTGTGGGTGGTTGCAGGTGCAATTTATTCACCCACAACCAGCCCACACATTGCGGACTAGTGTGAACGTAGCCTAAGGCATGATCCAATTCAACCCAGCAGGGGGAAAAAATTCTTCCCGATCCCCCATGAAGCAAATGGATATTGCCTCATGGGGGATCAGCAAGAAGAAAGCTTGCCAGTGTCCAATCACCTGAACATACAAGCCTATAACACGGTGTATGAATAAGGTGCCTGTGTCCTGTACTGCACAGTTAAGATAAGCTGTAGCATATGCAGCTCTGGGCTCTCATTTGACATTGAAATTACCAAAAGATACTAACAGTCATACTTCTCAGAGCCAAGTGAAACAGAAGTTGCATTTTATTACAAGTGGAAAATGACGGTGGTCTGCCTGCAGAGTTTAAAACGCAAAATGAAGTTTTGAATAAACCAGAGCTGTAACTCCTTCCCTCTCTCCCTTTGAATGACCCCTAAGGAGATACTAGTCTCAGGTATTTATTTTGCATACCAGCAAGGAAATCAAAAAATAGTGTGAAGCACAGACATCTAATAGCTACTTTACCTCACACTGGTCCACATGAGCCACGGCAGTGGCAAGAAGTTCCCGAAGAGACAGCAATAGAGATTTCTGTTTAACTTTGTAGAGGTCACTTAATGTGTAGAGATGCAACTCTTCTGTCAGATGAGAGGGCACTTCGTCAAAAGCCTCTATAATGCTGTTTGGCAGAAAGGAGAATTTTAAATCACCACTAAGAAATCAATTAAAAAAGGGTCAATATATCAGCAATGCCCACAAAGCATTGAACCACTTGTGTCAGTCTTTGCCCATAAAGGAGCTTAGAGTCCTATGTCCCGACTTCCAGACAACATCCAGATACCTCTGAGCTAATATAGTTTGATGTCCATGAACCAACCATGTGCTACGGAGAAAAACAATTCAAGTACAGACTACTTCCAGAATGATACTGCCTCAGACATTAATACTGTATACCATGCAGCAACGCAGATTTGCTAACCACAGTCAATATATTTACCACTTCACAGCCAGCATATTGTAAAATGACGGCCGGGAAGGAGCACTACTATCCAGGATGAACGTCATGAGTACACAATGGCCTTAACTGCTTGGTCACAGTGACCACATGGTAGAGGCCAATCACAGTGGGCCTGTAGTATGTGATAGCTGTGGCCAATCACAATGTCACATAAATGTATGCTCTTCAAAAAAATAATTGTTTATAAACAGTGATCATCACTAACAAGCAATCATAAGAAAATCCCAGTCATCTCGCTAGATATAGGGTCTCAAGAAATGAGGCAGTCAGTACATCAGGACTGATCAACTTTGTTTTTTTTTTTTTTTTTTTTTTTTTTTTTAAACCAAAAGAAATTTACATTTATGAAGAAAGATTTGCCAAAATATTATAAACAATTGAAAAAAATGCTTCGTTCAAAATTTTTGCTTTTTGCTTATTTAGTAACAAAATACAAACCCCCCCCCCCCCCCAAAAAAAAAAAAAGTATTAAATACAACCAAAAGAAAGCTCTTCTAAACAAAACCCTTCCCCCAAAATGAGTAACTGTCAAAGTGTGAGAGCACTGAAAGCTGAAAATTGGCCTGGGTAGGAAGGGGGGTGGGGGGTGGAATGTCTCATGTTGATATTGCGGTTAAGTATTAACAATGAAAAAGAACTATTATTCTTGTGCTTCCAAAAAAGATTGATTTGCATTAAAAAAAGAGAAGAATTGACACTTCTGATCTATAATACTACCATAAGCTACATATGGAATATGAAAAACAGAAGTTAGGATTTATTAAGAAGTGACCCATAGCTGGCTGCAGGTATACAAAACAAAAATTAAATAAATAAAAAAATGTGTGTTTAAACTTTCAATTTTGTTGCAGGTACATTTATACTCTGCAACACAAATTGGTAAATCTTAAAAAATACATTTTTTTTTAGCCCTAGTTCACACCACTGACTTCAGATTTACAAATCACACCTGAAGTCACATCCAATTTATTTCTATGGCATGTTCTTAGTAAGTGAAATTTCAAGTAGCACGATTTGAAAAATAGTTCCTGCATCACTTTTCACCATTTCAGTGAGATTTCTCTCTTAGACTAAAGATAAATGGCACCAAAATCATACCAGATCCCATACAAGAGCTACTCTAAAGCCTTGCTTTAAATGGGCCAAAAAAAAAAAAAAAAAAAAAAAAAAAAAAAAAAAACACCACTTTGAAATATTCAGTGTGAACCAGGGCTCATGCTGCAAGTTAAAAACAGGTTTCAGAATAGATTCCTATTGATTCAAAACTTGAAAATAAAATGGAGAGAAGAGGGAGGGGAAGAATTACCCTTGCCCAATACAAGGAATGGCAGTTCTACTGGCTGCCATTGACTGCAAAAGGAATGGTAGTTACAGTGAACACAAAATTCAGTAAAAACACAGAAGCAAAAAATTGCAACAGAAAATTCATTTTTTTTTCACAATTTGGTAACTGAAATTTAGCTGCTATGATTTTTCAATATTGCCCAATTTAATCTAACTTGCAGTGCCATATTAAGACTGATCGTGATATCAGGATAATGTGAATAATGTACAAAATTTCAAACTATTAACCTTACCCATCTGCAAAGCGACAAGTTTCCACCAGTTTCCTTATGTGAATTAACTGCTCTTGAACTTCCTGCAAGAGAACACATTATTAAACCCCTCAACAATGCAGAAAATAACTTTGCACAGCAACGTCCACATTAGGAATGTATAGCAACGTCCACATTAGGAATGACCAAATAGGAAAATAAAAATGTTTCCTTCTTCCTGCAGGAGGTACGCATATGTGTGGCCTCTTGGTAGGTGGGCTTTAATGCCAAGAGGCTGCATATATAATATGTAGCCCTATGTAAACAGTTTTCTGTGCAGAGAGCATGTGCCCTGCGCTCCCAGCTTGATTACCAGCAGGGAGCGGTAAGCTCCTGATGCATACTTGCGATCAGGAGCTTTCCACTGCTATTACTGCCAATTACGTGATCGGAATGCCCACCTCTCAGCGTTTAGAATCTTTTAGAAATGGGCCAGGGGGTGGCAGCAAGAAGGGGTTAAAAAGGGACTAGCATTGTGTATATTTATCATCATGCTAATTATATAGTAGGGTATAAATATTACATAGCCATTTCACATCTTCTAGCCAGCAAGTGGTAAACTTGAATCTGCCCTCCACTACTCCTGCTTATTTTACTGCTATTCTGCAAATAGTCTTTCATTATACTTCTGGCGCTGCAACAGAGCTGTGACTCTTATAAAAATAGAATCCAGTTTGTTATTTGCCCCTCCTTGCAGTAACCAGCTTCCAGTTTTGTCAAAGCTTAATTGAACAAGCAGATTGGCTACCGTGCACAACTGCACCAGATGTTTAAACTTCCAGTTTTCAGAAATCAACCTTCTTAAATTTCGTAAATGGTTCATAAAATACTAGGCATTCTATGAATGGACAAGAGAAGAGGAGGGATGAAAAAATACATTACAGCTTCTATGAATGAGGCGCTCTCAGAGTCAGAGCGTTGGGAGTATAGCAAAAGCTGCTTGGATGCAGCTGTACCTCTGGAGCCCTTTAAAGGTGATCACTTAATTTAAAGCCTATCAGGCTGTAAAGACTCATACCAAACTCACAGCTGCTGAGCTAGTTTTAACCCCTTGGCTACCATGCGGTTTATTAAAAAAACAAACAAAAAAAAAACAAGTACCTTTGTAGACAAGGGGTTAGGGCTGGATCTTCCAAAGTCAACCAATTAGTTACCATTTCATTCGCTCCACAGTATGAGTTTCCAACGCAGTTTAAATCTACACGTTATGAACAGATTGCCTAAGACCGTTGTTTCCTTAGACACTTATTTCAAAAAGGTCCCCAGAAAAAAAAAAAAAAAAAAAAAAAAAACACACAAATTTTTGTCTCTTCATGTAATCCCGGACAGACTATGTGGAGATCAGGACTTTGTGCAGGTCACACCATAACTTCCAGGACCCCGTGTTCTTCATTACACAGAAGACAGTTCTTAATGACATTGCCTGTATGTTTTGGGTCATTGTCCTGCTGCAAAATAAAATGTGGGGCCAAATCACATGCCTCCCTGATAGTATGGCATGATGGATAATTATCTATTTCCCAACATTGAGGACACCATTGATCCTAGCCAAAGCTCCAACTCCTTTGGCGAAAATGCAGCTTCAAACTTGCAAGGAACCTCTACCATGCTTCACCGTTGCCTGCAGACACTCATTGTACCACTCTCCAGCCCTTCGGTGAACTGCCTTCTGCTTCAGCAGAATATTTCAAATTCTGACTCATCCGGAGCACCTGCTGCCATTTTTCTGCTACCCAGTTCTTATGTTTTTTGTGCATATTTGAGGTCACTTACCATTGTTTCCACATCAAAAAGGTATTGCTTTTTAGTCACAATTCTTCTAAAACAACCACTTCAGGCCACACTTCTCCAGACATTTGATGGGTGTACCTAGTCCCACCGGTTGTTGCCAGTTCTGTGGCGATGGCACTGCTGGACATCTTCCAATGCTGAAGGGAGGTAAGCATGATGGGTCTAATCTGCTGCAATAAAATGTTCCTTGGCTGACCACTGTCTACGGTCCTCAAATTGCCAGTTTTCTTTGGGATTCTTCAAAAAAAGCTTGAATGGCATATCTTGAAAACCCCAGTATGCTTAGAAATCTTTTCCTGGGGAGACCTTGCTGATGCAGTATAACTAACTTGTGTCTTGCTGCTGTGCCCAGTCTTGCCATGGTGTAAGATACAGTGATTCTTCCCAACCCTGTTGTAGAAATTCCCGCAAATGTGTTTCACTTGTAATTTGCCTTGATTTGCTTTCACCCTTCTTTCCAGTTTCCAAACCAGCATGATGGGGCTTAAGTCTAAAGAATATGCTGGAAATTCCATGATTTGAAGCCTACTGTCTTGTTCTTTTCTTCTAAGTTAGTTTTGACAGCCTGGGAGATTTTTTGGCTCATTATCTTGCTGTAGAATGAAGCCCTTACCAGCTAGGCGTATTTCAGTGGGTATTGCATGGTGCTGCAAAATGCTGTGGCAGTGGTTTTGGTTCAGGGTGGCACTCACTGGATCCAGCAAGAGTCCAAGACCATCACGCTTCCTCCTGCATTGGTGTCGCATACAGAGGAATCAGCCTTTCACCTTCTCGATTGCATACAAAAACCTTGCATGATGACCCGAAGATCTCAGTTTTTGATGAAAATCTGTCCATAATACAGTCATCCATTTTTTAATAGTCCATGGTCCAGGTAAGTCTCGTGTTTCTTATGTTGCCATTTAATAGCTTTCTTACAGTCACTAGACTTATCAAACCTGCAGCTCAAAGTCTTCTCTTCAGTGTTGAAATGGAAGATTTGCTTAGTTCAGTCAGTGTTCTAGAGTGATTGTTCTGTGAGCTGCCTGTCATGGAAGCTGTTGACTCTTCGAAAGCCACAACAGAATCAGAAGACAAGTTTCTGTCTGCCAGACAGACAACTCCTGTCAGTGAATACAGTTTTCTACACCATCAAAAAGGCACTTTTGAAACGGACACCTTGACTTTTACCAATTTCTCTATAAGGATTATAATTTTCTGTCTTGCTTTGTTCATTGCATTTTTCTTGCCATTTTAGGAGCAATATACTGCAGTACAATACTGTCCGATTATTGCTTAAAAGGGTGTAGTAACACTGTCTGTATAGAAGTAGCATTGAGACAGAGCATGCAAATAAAATATTTGGGACGCCTCTAGGAAAATGTTAGCAAACTTTCAAGGCTTAGTTTACTTACATTACTGCAGAACTGAGTTGTCAACCTATTACTTCTTCCCTGGAAAAGTCTTTTGTATAACTATATAACATTGTTCGGTTTCTGTTAAACTTATTTAAATCTATGGCAGTTTACCTTTGTACCACTTCAGGTTATTCACTGTACGTGAACTGTTTAAATATTTAAAAAAAAAAAAAAAAAAAGGAAAGGAAAGATGGAGGTGTTTGAAATCTCAAAATCAAATCAAAAAGAAAAAAAAAAAAAAAAAAAAAAAAACACACACAAAAATAACTGACAGCTATTTTTAGTGGCAGTGTGGGTCCTAGAGGCAACAATGCCATATAGTTGCCATAGAAATTGTAGCAGCTATTGGAAATACACTTAAAATAGGTTCCACAGTTTACTTACTCGGACTCTGTTTAGATCCTTTACTTTTTTGTACAGTGCTGGGTTTTCAATCTGCACATTGAACTGGTGACTCTCCCAGATTTTGTCCACAACACTCTTGGCAAAGTTGCTGATATAGTATTTACTGAAATTCCATTTAGAGAGAATGCGGCCTGGAATGGAGCTCTCTGTGTAACTGTGACAGCAGTCACAGAAATATTTGCCCAGGTAATCACAATATCGCAACCTATTAGTGTACCCTGGAAACAGAACACAAAAGGTCACATGGTTGTAGACAAGATGCCCAGTCTTACATAAAACAAAACAAAAAAAAAAAAACCACACACACGGAAAAATGGAAACTCTACACGATTTGCAGGTGTGAAAGTGACATGTTTCACGTTGAAAGCAGAAGTGAAGTAACATTCTTTTGCTTCTGCTGTGTGATGGGACACCTAGTTAACAAGTGGAAAGCTTCACTTTAGTTCTAGTCACTGTGAACTGCTAGTAATACAGAGTCATGTTAGAGCTTCAAAAAGGGTAAATTGTTGGTGCACACTTAGCAAGTGCCTCTGTGACCGAAGTTGACAATTTATCGTGTTGCAAGGTACAGTATCAAAAGGTTATCACAGGATATACAGTTTCCGGGAAACCATCTGCATACGCGCGGTCGACGCAGTCAGCTGACTGAAAGTCAAAAAGATCATTGGGCAGGACTGACCTGGAATAAGAAAACTGCTGTAAACTTCTACAAAAGTGACTCCAGAGCTCAATCTCAATGGCACCAAAACGGAGCTCTGCAGTCACTTTTGCAGCAGTTTCCTCCTTATTCTGGGTCACAATCCTGCGCAATGTCCTTTTGTCTGTGGACCGCACTTATACAGTTTCTGGTAAAAAATCGTCTGAACATATGCTGTCATAACTTGATACTGTACCTCACAACACGGCAAATTGGCAACTTCAGTCACAGAGACACCAGCTAAGTGTGCACCAACAATCTGCCCTCTTTGAAGCTCAGTAAGCTGTGACACGACTCCATTATTACTAGCAGCAGATGCAGTGAATGATGAAAGTGAGGCTTCCTATATGTTAGCTGTCATCACTGGGTGAAAAACAGCACTTTACATGTCAGCAAATCTTAGGTTTAACTGAAATAGCTTATAGTAACCAACATTGTTTGACAGTTTTATTTTTCAACAAATGAAAAAAATCAAGTTTAACGATTTTATGTAGTGGTGATAGCAGGATCATAGGTTTTAACATTCACTCACCAGCCCCTCTTTATTAGGTACACCTGTTCAATTACTTGGTAACACAAATTGCCAATCAGCCAATTACATGGCAGCAACTCAATGCATTTAGGCATCTAGACACAGTGAAGACTATTTGCTGACGTCCAACCCGAATGGGGAAGAAAGGAGATTTAAGGGACTTTAAGCATAGCATGGTTGTTGGTGCCAGATGGGCTGGTCTGAACATTTCAAAAACTGCTGATCTACTGGGATTTTTACACACACAACCATCTCTAGGGTTTATAGAGAATGGTCCAAAAAAAGAGAAAATATCTAGTGAGCGGCAGCTGTGTGGACAAAAATGCCTTGTTGATGTGAGAGGAGAATGGGAAGACTGGTTCGAGATGATAGAAAGGCAACAGTAACTCAACCACTCGTTACAACCAAGGTATGCAGAATACCATCTCTGAACGCACATGTCGAACCTTGAAGCAGATGGGCTAAAGTAGAAGACAACACTGGGTGCCATTCCTGTCAGCAAAGAACAGGAAACTGAGGCTGCAATCCGCGCACAAGCTCACCAAAATTGGACAATAAAAAGATTGGAAAAACATTGCCGGTCTGATAAATCTCTATTTCAGCTGCAACATTGAGATGATAGGGTCAGAATTTGGCATAACATGAAAGCATGGATCCATCCTGCCTTGTATCAATGGTTTAGGCTGGTGGTGGTATGGGGGATATTTTCTTGGCACACTTGGGCCCCTTAGTACCAACTGAGCACCGTTTAAATGCCATGGACTACCTGAGTATTGTTGCTAACCAGGTTCATCCCTTTATGACTACAGTGTACCCATCTTCAGATGGCTCCTTCCATCAGGATAATGCACTATATCACAAAGCTCAAATCTCAAAACTGGTTTCTTGAACATGACAATGAGTTCACTGTACTCCAATGTCCTCCACAGCCCCTAAATCTCAACCCAATAGAGCACCTTTGGGATGTGGTTGAACAGAAGATTCACATCATGGATGTGCAGCTGAAATCTGCAGTAACCGTGTGATGCTATGGACCATAATCTGAGGAATGTTTCCAAAACCTTGTTGAATCTATGCCACAAAGAATTTTAGGCAGTTCTGAAGGGAAAAGGGGGGTATAATCCAGTACAAGCAAGGTGTACCTAATAAAAGTGGTCAGTGAGTAGTTATGTCTACACATTTACAGACAAGATGCAATAGCTACAAACGACGCTCTGATTGGGCACACTGTTTTTGACAATCAGGCTGTGTATTGATTCCATAATGGATAATGGTTAGTGCGTCAAAGTGTAGGAAGAACTCATTATCACACTGAGATGTCGAAGATGTCCAAAGGCATGCTGGTAGGTTAATTGGATCCTGTCTAAATTGGTCCTAGTATGTGTATCTATGAATGTAGGTTAGAGATTTTAGATTGTACACCCCCTGAGGGTTAAGGACTGGTGTGAATCAACAACTTGTAGAAAAATCTATATGAGAGGGGGCATCAATCATTACTATAGATTTTCACCTTATGTGAGCCACACACTTGCACCGAGTTGGAGAAGATGATACTGGGTCACAGTGCTTCAATACTACGGATCTGAATTCTTATTAGTCAGCGCTTCAAAACATACTGGAGTCATTTAACAGCATGAGATCCAGGCAAAAAACATTGTTAAATGGCAGCCTCTGCATTTTCTCTGGCAGTTCCTTAAGTCCAGTTGTAGGACTACACCACTTGATCTGGTCCTCGTCTCCAGGACTTCTCCAGAGCCTCCCCCATACTCTGGAACTCTCTACCCCAATCTATCAGACTATCGCCTACTCTACCCACTTTTAGGCGATCTCTAAAAACCTCTCTTCAGGGAAGCCTATCCTGCCTTCAGCTAATAACGGAATCTTCTATTCCTCCTACCAGTCCATCCCCCACAGTTATTACCTTTTGTACCACCAGCTCCTCCCTCAGCTCGCAAGCTCCAAGGAGCAGGGCCCTCCTAACCCTCTTGTATTGAACTGCACTGTTGGTGTATGGTCTCCCTTTATATTATAAAGCGCTGAGCAAACTGTTTGCGATAAATTATGAATAATAAATAATCTGGTGATTCTTTCCCAACTGAGAAAATTTAAAATACAAGCAATAAAGTCTCATGCCTTTATTGAATTTTTTTTTTTTTTACTAAAAAAAGGTGGCTATACCTCTAAGGACTAAACCCTTGAAATGAGGACCACAACTCAGTTTTTTTTTATATAAAAGTACAAAAGAAAAAACACAACACGCCAACACCACTCACTTTGCTCTACTTTTGTTCCACAGCCAGCACATAAATAGTTTTGTGATGCTACAATTACATCTCTCCTGAAAGACAAAAGTAGGATAACAGGTTAATGACAGTTATACTAATGTGTCTATGCTTCAGACATATAAAGGGGGCCAAAACAACCAGTTTTTGAAATGTAAGACCATAAAAAGCCAATTTGTCCAGTTTCCCAGAGGCAGTGGGAATTCAAAAGCAAGAAACCATTAGCTTAAATTATGACAAGTGCATAATCACACTTCTGTCTCTCTCCTCTATTCTGCTGTTAGTCAAAAACCTGTAGTTCCATATAAAAATGGCTGGATGAAGGGGCAATTCTTTCATACTTGTTTCCATTTTTTACACCAATTGCTCCAATTTTACCAAAATGTCTAGTGTATACAGCTAGGACATACAATAAGCTCAAACATATGTAATGTTTTAGTGCACAATGATATGCGAGGCAAGGGGATCATCTGCTACATGCCAGTCATGGGGGGAGAACATTTACAATTTGACCCCAGATATCCTGACTAGTATTCATTGATCAAGTGCAAAGATCATTTACTTCTATGCTGATATACACATCACATATCTTATCTCATTCAGCCAGCTCTTACTAAAAAACACTTCACAGCCTGCTAGGTCAACAGGCCACATGACTCTGGAGGGACTTGCAAGTCTGGCTACAGCAATTTATCCCACTTTATGACCTGTTTTTCAACATGCCAAGTCAATGACAAATAGGGATACCCTATCACAAATACAGCAAAGGGCATCGGGACATGCAAATGTTGCTATTTTTCCGCATGCTTTCAAAGCTTCTAGAACTTAGAATTTGAAAAAGCTGTAAAATGTAATAAAGTAGAAAGTGGTAGGTGGCTGCATATGTGATTGCACAAAAAAAAAAAAAAAAAAAAAAAAACGTCCCATATATTGTAAAATGGGAAAGGGTCTTGCATGTCAAAATGACTCAAGAAAGTACAATGTTTCCTTGAGTCATCTTGACATGCAAGACCCTTTTCTATCTTAAATTCCACAACAGATGGGACAATTTTAGGACGTTCTAATCTGGGAGCCTGTATAAACTGAGTTTTATAGCATATAGCAGCATTTCTTGAAGGAAATATTTCTCTCCATCTTTGAGGTATCAAAACCCCCAGTTTCAAATTGGAGGTAATGGGATGGTGACAGTTTCCTGGTTTTTAAATATTGCAGCTTGCCTTCCTATACACTAGGGATGCACAGATACTATTTTTAAACGGAACACAAGTAATGATACTCTGCCAAATCACAGCTGATAACCAATCACATGGCAGCAACTCAATGCATTTAGGCATCTAGACGTGGTGAAGTTGACTTGAAGTTCAAACAGAACATTAGAATGGGGAAGAAGGGGATTTAAATGACTTGAACGTGATGTGGTTGTTTGTACCAGATGGGCTGGTTTGAGTATTTCAAAAACTGCTGATCTGGTATTGCTATACCTGCATTTTTATTTATTTATTTTTAACAGCAAAACTTAAAGGATCACACCTTCAAAGAATCTGTTCAGCAACCTCAAGCTAACATGTGAAATAATTTCACTATATCAAAACTACAAAAATGGTAACTGCTGTTCTTAATGGATAACCCCTCAAAAAAAAAAAAAATATATATATATATATATATATTTGACTTGCCTGTAAAATTCATCTTAGGAGTGCAGGAAAAGAACAGGTTATATGCGGCTACATTCATGCGATTTGACACTGCCAAAAGGTATGCTGGAACAACCCCCAGTAAACTCATAACACCCCACCAGCCCAAAAAAAGTTGATTGATCTGGTGGAGTGGGCTCGGATATGGAAAGGAAGAACTTTTCTTGGGAGCATTAGCCCTGGAAGTTAGCTGCCAGGGTTCCTTTAGGGAGGACAAATAAGTTATCAGTTTTTCTAACATGAACAGCTAGGGAAACCCTAACTGCTCACATCCAGGCAGGATTGAGGTAAAAGGAAGTGGCGACCTTAGGAAAAAAGGAGGGTCTAGGTGTCAGGACCACCTATCTCTATACAAGAAACATCTTTACATGAAAGCACTGCCAACTCTGAGTCATGCCTGACAGAAGTAAAGGCCACCAAAAGATCCACATTACTGGCAAGATCCTCTAGTGAGATAGCCCAGTTCAGTTTAAAGGAAGGTCTTTGAAGAACCAAAAGTACTAGTTTCAGATCCCAGGGAGACACAGGAGGTCAAAGCGGCGGATTAACATGAGCAACTCTTTGTATAAAAAGGTCTTGGCAAAATATGTCAAGTCAAAAGGTTTCTGGAATAGAATGGATCAGGCAGAAATCTGTCTCTTTAGAGTGTCAAACTGTGGCCTTCTAGCTGTTGAGAAATTACAAGTCCCATCATGCTTCTACCTTTGGGAGTCTTGCTTTTAACAGTCAACCTTGCAACGGCTCATGGGATTTGTAGTCCTGAAACAGCTGGAGGGCCACAGTTTGACACCCCTGACTAAGAACCAGATGCTGGTCCAGACCAGACTAGAAGACTACCGGGATGCAAAGAATAGCATATTCCTGCATGTTATGGTGCCCAATTTTACACAAGCCAAAATAGACCTTCCAAATTGACGGGAGATCTTGCAAAAAGTAGATTCTCGTTTAAGGACCTGGGTTTCAACAGCCATGCTGTTAAAGTCTGACTGACAAAGGCAGGGAGGAACAGAAAGCAGGCCTTGTGAGGGAAGGTCTGTCTGGTTTGGGAGAGACCATGGCTCACAAACAAGGAGGACACACCAGCTTTGTGCATTACCCAAGATACCATGTATTAACCACTTTAGATATACTACTACAGGGCAGGCTACTTCTGCTGTGAATACTTACAGCAGAAGATGATCAGCGGGTGCCGGCCAATGGATGTCCACCGGCACCAGATCGTTGGGTAAAGACAGAGAACGGAGCTTTGCCTATGTAAACAAGGCAGAATTCTGTTCTGAGGGGGGAGCGATTGATATTGTGCTGTTAAATCCATAAGAAAAAGCAACACAGTGTACACAAAACATAGCTAGGCACACAGTTAACCCTTTGGTTGCCCTAGATATTTAACCCTTCCCAGCCAGTACCAGTGCATATATATTTAGCACTGGTTAAAGATTAATGTATTCGTGTCACTGGTTCCCGCAAAGTGTCCACCGCAATATCGCAGTCCCGCCATAAGTGGCCGATCGCCACCGTTATTAGCATAAAAATAAATTCCAGTATATATCCCATAGTTTGTAGATGCTATAACTTTTGCGCAAACCAATCAATATACGCTTATTTGGATTTTTTAACCAAACACATGTAGCACAATACATATTGTCCTAGATTTGTAAAGAAATTTGAGTTAATTTTTAGTTGGATATGTTTTATAGCAGAAAAAAAAAAATTTCCAAAAATTGTCAGTCTTGTTTCTAGCACAAAAAAACAAACAGTAGTGATCAAATACCACCAAAAGAAATCTATTGGGGGGGGGGGGGGGGGGGGGCAAACAAAAACCCCATAAAATGTAATTTATGTACAGCATTGCATGACCATGCAATTGGCAGTTAAAAGCAATGCAGTGCCGTATTGAAAAATGGCCTGGTCAGGGGGGGGTTAAATTTTCCAGAGATCAAGTAGGTAAATTAATACACAAATGGTTATATTAAACTGAATAGTAAGCTTGTAAAAACTGCTAGGAAAGCCTCATTCCAGAATGCCAACAGTACTAAAAGAAGCAAGGGCTGACACATTTAGAGGGACACCCGGGGGAAGGGATACCCTCTTCCTCAGAGTTCTATTCATTAAAATGGCATCTGGGGTAACGCACAAGGTTGGTACGCCTTTTTTTTTTTTGTCATGTTGAGAGTTTTGAGATCCAAGGCTTGGGACAAAGGATGGAATTGCCTTAGAATTAGAGTATGCCTCTTCTAGAGAATGGAAAGGGCCTCCTTTGGTTAGAGAAGGTAGTAGTCCTAAAAAGGTTTTTTTTTTTTTTTTTTTTTTACTTCCCTGATAAAATGTATCAAGGGATTCACCAAACAAGCATTCACCAAAGACTTTTACAAGCAGGCCAAGCCTTTAACAAATTCATGTACACAAGGAGTGGGGGAAAGAATTTTTTCATAAATTCCTACCCCACAGGATAGATATGTAGCTTGTCAGTTTGGTGGCATCAGATAAACTGTGTGCGAAGGAAAATTCTTTCGATTTTGACATCCAATTAGTGTTGATAGGAGCCAGTTTTGGGTAAGGAGTTTCCAATGCGGTTAAGACAAATGTACTATGCACATCAGCAAGCTCTCCATGGAAAACAGTGCGATGTTTTAGCTTTTATCTCAAATTGCAGAAGGTAAAAATTTCCACTGCAGGATTCTCTTCTGAGTGCACCTCGCCTTCCTCAGCATCTTTCTTGCAGAGGTTAGGAGTCAAGTGGTAGAGAGGCAGAAAATCGCTTTTGGGCAGAAAGTTTCCCAAACAGAATCAGACATCGTTGCAAAATAAGACATTGCTCTAGTGCAGGGGAACAGTTATCACCCTAAGTGTTCTGCTGGTTTTACTGTAGCAAGAATATTAGGCCCTTTCTCTTGGCTCCTCCACACCTTGTCTTAGTCAATGCTAGGTGAGGGGCTTCCCTCACGAAATGGGTGCTGAATTAGAGGTTAATTGGTGTCCAGGAAAATAGCCCTATAACCCAGACACCAAAACGATGTCCTGTGTGTCTCTGGAGAAGATATAGTTGTGTTTCTGGTGGACATACAATAAAGAGGAGATTCTGGCACACAGATGAGGTTATATAAGAAAATAATAAATGTATATAAAGTGATGCAGGTGATAGCAATGGCAATGACCTAAGATACTGTAAATTAAAAGTTTAGTATTTGTGGGTACACAAAGTCTATTAAAGTCTCTCAGGCGATCAGCCCAAAGGTTAGCACAAATAAGCGGCAGCCATCCTCTGAGCACAGCCAGCTCTATATGCATAGACAAAAGAAAGGAAAACAGGTGGCACCTATCTAAATGCAGCAGATAAATTGTATTTAATGGCAAAGGGTTAAAAACACTCACAAGAGTAATAAGAAAACAAGCTCATCTGGGAGCGGTTTGAGCTTAAATAGGAGACTGTCAATTGTGGGACAACGCTCAGTGGGGATTTAAAGGCACAGTGCCTTAAAGGAAAAATTAGTGTGGAACAATAAATCGTACTGGGCAAACACATTACTAATGTGTAACAATAAATCGTACTGGGCAAAGCACCGATATTTTAAAATTAGAAATAATGAATGAAAATAAAAGGAGACATGGATAAGGAAATACATAAGTGTTTTTACACTAACATGTATGGAATTAAAAATGATGACACGATACCAATAAAAATGACAAAAAAAAACAAAACACGAGATATAAACTCATAAGCGTAAATGGCATGGATTATAAATTTAACCAAAGGAGACGTAATATTCAAAGAAAGAGAAGATATTATAAACAGCCATCTGGTCATGCACGCATGTTGATAAACGCACCTGTGCGTCACCATACAACAGGCCTTAGTGCAAAGGTTAAGTGGATATGTATGAAAAAATGAGTTAATGACTACAGTATAGTATGCATTTCAATCTCTTTGGTCAGCCATCTTGGGACTAAAGTATAGATCCAAAACGTTTCACACTGACAAGAGGCCTAAAAGTGCTCCGCCACAGAGGAGCATGTGGGAACGTGTTCCAGGATCCACACAGAGTCCCATGGTGGATTTGTTATGATGTTCTGTGAAGTGTCTGGGGACACAGTTTATCAGATCCTGCTTCAATCAGATGTCTGTTCACCAAAATGTTTACGTAATGTCCACATGGGCATGTCAAAAACAGTAAAATCACATTCAGTAGCACAGTTGTAACATTCTTTGATGGAGTAAGTTTTCCCTTTGATGGTGTATGTTTTTTGACCATGTTGGATGAAGGGGCACATAAGGCACAATGTCTTCTTACACTAATACATCCCTACCAGGGGCATCAATATAGTATGCGGTTTTGGCATGCGTTTGATTTTTACTAGTTTGGCTTTTGAGGTTTTTGACCTTCCGGTATGAAGCTTGGGACACTCCCGTGTTAGATGTATGTAGGAAGGGATCTTGTAGTAGTAGTAGTAGTAGTAGTAGTAGTAGTAGTAGTAGTAGTATAGGCCAGTGTCTACGCAGGATGGTCTCCATTTTCTTGTATTGAATGTGAAATTGTGTTGTGAAGCGGATGGGTTGTGCATTTTTATCCGAGGCTAGTTTGTTGAACTTACGGACTGGTCTATCTCGGTAATACTGAAAGGAATCTTATGAGGAGGGCAGGGTATCCTTTTTCCAAGAAATTATTAGCCAAGATTTCGCCATTTTGCGGATGTAAATCGCCCTCCCTAGAACAATTATTTCTTAGTCGACAAAATTTGCCCTTAGGAATATTTTTAACCCACCGGGGATGATGGCAACTCTGGAAATTAATATGAGTTCCCTGTGGTGGATTCAACAGTTTTGGGAGAAGATCTCATCATGGCAAAGGTGTAGATTGAAAAAAGCAAGGGTGTGAGGATCTTGTAGGTGGGTGAAAGATATTCCTAGATGGTTCTGATTACAATATTGTGCAAATGTATTAACAATCTGAGGGGGGCCATCCCATATGACGATATCATCTATATATCTTCCATAGAACACAATATGGGAGGCAAAAGGATTAATGTGAGTAATGTACTGGTGTTCCCAGAAGCCCATAATTTGCCCCCATAGCTGTAGTTGTGTTGTAAACAAAACTGGGTTGCTTCCAGGATGAACTGTGTATGTCTGGGGTTCATAAGCGGGTCCTCTGCTAAAGAATTTTGAATAGCTTGGAGACCCACCTCATGGGAAATAGAAGTGTATAGGAAGGGGACATCTAAGGAGACCCACAGGTAAGTGGGTTTCCCAGCTATAGGGTGAGAGCATATCCAGGAGGTGTATACCATCTCTGATATAAGAGGGCACGTTTTGGGCCAGTGGTTGTAGAAAGTGATCCACATATATAAAAAAAAACACTAGTGACACTGTCCAATGCAGCCACAACGTATGGCTTGTCATTTTTTTAGTATTGTGTCATGATCATTTTTTATTCTATACATACTCATTATGTTATTAGTGTATAAAAACTGATGTATTGTACTCATATTCCTTCTGTACTGAAATGTATTGTAATTGTACCGTCTCCCTTTTATTGTATTGTAAAGCGCTGCGCAAACTGTTGGTGCTATATAAATCCTGTATAATAATAATTATCAATCTCCTTACCCATTTCTTTTTCATTCATTGTCATTTCTATTGTCATTTTAAAACATTGGTGCTTTGCCCAGTACCATTTATTTTTCCACATTAGTAATGTTTTTGCCCTTTACTATTTAGTGTTCCACACTAGTTTTTCCTTTAAGATACTGTGCCTTTAAATCCCCACTGAGCATTGTCCCATGATTGACAGCGTCTCCTATTTAAGCTCAAACAGCTACCAGCATTTTTAGGCCAACAGAAGGCGCTAGAGGCACAGCGCACGTAGCCTGCTTGTCCCACGTCTGTCTTCAGATCTGACTGACCCTCCGCCTCTTCCGGTGACGTCACTTCTGCCGGTGTGCTCCAGGCTGGTTGCACGGTCCCTTCCTGTACAGACGCTGCTGGATCGGTCATACTACACCATCACTCTGCAGGATTGACCCTTACTGTGCCTTCCCACTACTCCATCAGCCCAGAACACATCCTCCTTGCCACCGGTGGTGCCTGCGGGACATTGAGGAACAGTCATCCTATATACACAGATGAGCTTGTTTTCTTATTACTCTTGTGAGTGCTTTCAATCGTTTGTCACTAAATACAGTTTTATCTGCTGCACTTAGATAGGCGCCTCCTGTTTCTTTTGTGTTTCTTGTGGAAGTGGAGAGTAGACATACATCAGGAGCTTTGTTACCAACCATGCAGCTAACATATTAGAGACTTTTACAGAAAGCACAACATACAAAGGAAAATAAAGCCCCGCGAGAAGAAAAAAAACCCCACACGTTCTACTTACCTGCTCTGTGCAATGGTTTTGCAAATGCAAATGCTCCTGCTGCTGTGTGAGATGGCTCTCATGTACATTGCTGGATCGAGAATGGGATCAGGTATGTACAATGGGGGCTACCTCTAGAACCACTTTAAAGGAGAGAAAAAAATAAAAATAAAAAAAAACTTGGGGAAATCCACAGAGTGAATGGGATTATATGAAGGTGCACTGGGGACTTTCCCAACAAAGCTTATGCCAGTGTCCAATCACCTGGAGGTAGCAGAATACATCCCATGATCTAGGACTACAAGTCCCATGATCTAGGACTACAAGTCCCGTGCCCTGTACTATATATACACTATAAAGTGGTCCTAAAGGCTGTAGGTTTTGTGTTTTTTTAAGCCTTCAAAATATAAAAATTGGGTCTGTGCCCTTAATAATCCAAGATTAGCTTTGCAGCTCAAAAATAAGTCATTTCATAACATGCTGAATTGCCATACACTAATCTTGTTTAATTTGTAAGTCAGCTGCTTCATCCACGATCAGGTGACCTCATGTAAATTGACACCATGATATTAACGCGCAAAATGTAAATTGTATAAATATGAAGAGTAATTTACTTGATATATGGATGTACGGTACTTATGATCTGAAACCGTGGAGACCACTCTTCGGTGTCCCTGATCCTGAACTTCTTTATCTCTTCCACAAGACTTACACTGGATTCAAATTCCTCTGTTATAACTTCGTTATCAGTCAGCTAGAAGAAAAGAGATTAGCCTTTTAATATGTATACCAGGACTATACAAGGATATATTGTGCCACACATATCCAAATATCGATTTTAGGTCCAAAGAGCTTTGAGACAAGAAAAATAACCAATATTAGCCAAGCGAAATTCAAATCTTTCATTTGTAACAGTAACTTAAAATCTGATTGACTGTTATGGGCTACATTATGCTGCCTTACTGGCAAAAGTAGTGTATTATTCAAATACTTTTATACTATACGACCACGTTCAAGTGGAAATAAATCCTTTCAGAAAAAAACAACAAAAAAAACAAACAAAAAACCTTATTTTGCTCACCTCTTGTTTAATCTACAGTTATGGTGCTATGCAAGTGACAAGCTGACACCAGCTATTTGAGGGCTTGAAATTAATTGAAAGCGGAAGCAGACACCATTGGAGTATTCATTGGTGGGTTTAATTGCATTTTAATTTTGGCACTACATAAAAAGCAAGTGTAGGAAATTACACTATCCTCCAAATCACTACTGCAGGTCAAATATATCAAATGTTTTCTGTATTTTATAAAGCAGCCTGAATGGTAGGTTTCTTGAAAGTTGAACATCATTAGATCAAAAAAAGTAACAAGGAACATTTGCACAGGTTCTATACCCTGAATGCTTATGTAGAAAAAGTTTGATTTCATAATCAGGTCATCTATGGGAGCCGACAGCTCCCTCAGCTCCAAATTCCAGAGCTTAAAGACTGATGAACCATACTATACTTCATACCATGAGGAAGCAAAGGCTTGTCAGAAAAGAGAATTCAGTCTGTGGGGAGGGAGGTATAATCTTGCAGAGAATGGGCACATTCAGACCTAAGCATACAACATGACACTCCGATGTTGGTTACTTTTGGACTGTACGTACGTCGTCAGCTGTGATCCTTGTTTGTAGTGGAGCGTCCCCATCAACCTGTGTCCATTGCTGTCGGAAAGATCGGTATAAACTCTTGGCAATTTGCTCAGCAGAGTTTAAGCCCTGTCTGGAATATAAATGTTTATATGTAGAAGGTTGCATATACAATGAAGTTGATACAATTATGAAAATAGGCATATTGAAAAAGTTATTGTATGGCCTGTATAGAAACTAAAAATAAAAGTGATCACATACTGGGCCTGGACGCAGACTGCCTGCATCCAAGGCCGATCACTTGCATGCAATCGTTGCTTGAGAGATTACATGTGAGTGGGCACAATTGGCTGCAAAAGCTAGCAGGCTTTCATAGCTTTGAATGGGGATGCCTACTCTCAGCCAATTGCAGGAACCTCCACTGCAAGTACAGGTGCGAATCCTAAGCTGGGTATACATTGAGTTTTTTTTTTTTTCCTTTCAACCAATGGGATTCCAGCTGATAAATTGTATTTTGACAACAGGGACATCCCCCACCCATCAGAATACACTAATCAGTGCTGCAGCAGCTGATAGCCTGGCTTCTGTTAAACAGGAAGACCAGCATTCTAAACGGTCAGCTTATGTTGAACAGTCAAGGCTACACAGATAGGGTGCTTAACTGGCTGGCTGAATTTCAATATGTGCACACCCAGATTTACCATGTATGGCCATCTTAATCTGCCTGGATCAAAAGATGGCTGAACAGGATTACAAATCCTTTAAACAGGTAACCGTTTCCGTGTATGTAATTTAACACTATTTGCTCACCAGGAGTCAACTTTAAGCCCTGGTTCACATTGCTGCAACTTCAGGTGCGACAGTCAATTTACAAATCACATCTAATTTCTATGACAGTCTCTTAATAGGTGCGATTTGAAAAATAGTTCCTGCATTACTTTTTCACTACTTCAGGACAATTTAACCCTCAGACGAAGGTAAATGGCACTGCAATTGCACCTATTGGTACTTTGAAGTCATGCTTTAAATAGAACCAAATCGCACCACTTTGAAAAATCGCATTCAGTTTGAACCAGGGCTAAAATTTCTGGGTTATCAAAACTTTGCTTTGACAAAGAAATAAAATGTTTACCTTTTAGGCAAGTCATTAGATTGCTTAGGTGTGCATAACTTTTCACAGTCTTCCATTTCTGCAAAAGAAAGCAGAAAATATATTGAAAAATGTTGTCCTGCATAAAACAGAGCAATAGCTGTGTTGCCATATGTGTTAGCCTACACATTTGTAAATAAGAGAACTGAAGAATTCAGGAGGGGAAAAAAAAAAAATCATTCTAATAAAAGAAACCTACCCACATTCAAAAGGACAGCATATTGACAGCTGTGAACAGTGAATCCATCCAGCAACAAATCTAAAATGATTTCTTAACCCCTAAAATGGAACCAAGATTTACCTATAATTACATAATCATCAGAGTCTTCAAACATTTCAGTTTTGATGGAGTGCTGCGATTCATCCTCCTCAAATATAGTTTCTACAGGAGAATTCTGTAATGCAACCAACCCTGAAATTTAGAAGGACAGTAATAATTGCAAATATTTTTGCATCAGCAGTTCTATAAGCAACTTAAAAATAGAATAAAGAACAATAGAAGATATCTAATATACAGCTCCAGATGTCTGGAAAAAAAAATTCCAGATCTAAAAGAAAAAAAAAAAAAAAAAAAAAAAAAAACCAGGCAAAACAAATTGCTAATATACAGCAACAAATCTTTGCACTCACCAACAGTGGAAAAAAAAACAAAAACCCAAAAACACCACACCAAAAAAAAAAAGTTTTGTATATTTTGTCTACACGTACTAAAGACAAATCACAATGTAACGTGCAAGTCTCAAAGTATTTAACTTTTTTCCTTGAGTGAGCCAAAGTCACCAACCTTCCTGCACATGCCAATTTTCAGCACTGTCACACTGTAAATGACAATTGCGTGGTCATGCAACACTATGCCCAAATGAAATTTTTATCTTGAGACTGTTTTCTTTTGGTGGTATTTAATCACCACTGGGGTTTGCTAAACAAATGAAAAAAGCCCACAGATTTGTATATTGATACAATATCAAGGAGCTGCAAGTTTCTTTCCATGTGATCCAAGTTCTTTGTAAAACTGTAGGCTCATTCTTATTGGCTTGGGCACAACGTGTTTCATGGACTTAATCCACTTCAGGAATGATCACCATATAGACATTTGACTACGGATATAAGAACAAATAATCAAACATTTTTCCATTCTGGCATCATAGAGCATCATATTGTGAGTGCACCAGGGAGGGGTGAGAGAGAACAGAAAGGAGGAAAGGAGCAGTACCCCTGGAAACCCAAAGAAGGGAAGGAGAGGATGCAAGCCTCATAATATACACAAATATATAAATAAATCAAGACCTCTGAATGAAAAAAACTACCTCTGAAAATAGGTGGCTTCAAATATGCCAAGTGAATGGTATAGAGATCCTCTACTCATGAACTTATGCCAGCCTCTATTCTTATACTTCTCATACCACAAAACAATTTACTCCTAAATGGTAAATACACAATTGTACATATATATTTGGACAGGCACAATTTTGACTCTGCATGCCACCAGAAAAAATTAAAACAAGACAATCCAGATGAATTTGAAGTGCAGACTTTCAGCTTTAAATCAAAGTGTTGAACAAGTACACATTTTAGGAACAGCAACCATTTTTATACACAGTCCCATTTTCAGGTGCTCAAATATAATTGGAAAAATGAATATAATCAAATGTTCATTTTGAATATTTTGTTGAGATTCCTTTACTGGCAATGACTGCCTGAAGTCTGGTACCCATGGACCCTACCAAAGACTGGGTTTTCTGATGCTTTGCCAAGCTCTAACTGAAGCTGTCTTCAGTTGTTCTTTGTGGGTCTTTCTGCCTTTAGTTTTACCTTCAGCAAGTGAAATGATGCTCAATTGGGTTGAAATCAGGTGATTGACTCTGCCATTGCAGAACATTCCACTTTTCCTTCAAAAGCTCCTGGGTTGCTTTTGCAGTGTGTTTTGGATCATTGTCCATCTGTACTGTGAAGCGCCGTCCAATTAACTTTGCTGCATTTGGTTGAATCTGGGCTGAAAGCATAACTCAAGAACACTGCAGTGCCACTGGAAGCCATGCATGCCCATGCCATCACACTGTCACCACCATGTTTTACAGATGACGTTGTGTGCTTTGGATGAGACTTATCAAGCATTCTCCACACTTTCTTCCCATCATTCTGGTACAGATTAATCTTACTTTCATCCATTCAAAGAATGCTTTTCCAGAACTGGTCTGGCTTTTTTTTTTTTTTTTAGATGTTTTTTGGCAAAGTCTAGCTGTCAAAGTCTGGCTTTTCTACTCTTCAGGCTTATGAATGGTTTGCATTTTCTGGTGAACCCTCTGTATTTGCTCTCGTGAAGTCTTCTCTTGATTGTAGACTGACAATGATACGCCTACCTACTGGAGATTGTCCTTCATTTGTCTGGATGTTGTGAATGGGTTTTCCTTTACCATAAAGAAGATCCTGCGATCCACCACTGTTTTCTTCTGTGAATGTCCGTGCCTTTTTATGTTGCTGAGCTCACCAGTGCATTCTTCTTTCCTCAATGTACCAAACTGTTGATTTGGCAACTCCTAATGTTGCTGCTATCTCTGATGGATTGGTTTTATTTTTGTATTTCAATAGTTATTAATTTATAACAATTAACACAGGAGCAACAAATCATGCCCACGCAGGGGCTTTCAATTGCACATAGAGGAACTAGAAATTAGAGAAATCAGTGCTCTAAAAAACACCAAAAGGGCAAAAGATACGCCCATGCAGAGGCCAACAATGGCACTTAAATAACAAAACATAATAACTCAGACTAAAAGGCAGCTATCCACTGCCACACCAAAGCAAAAAGAAAAAAAAAAAAAGGGGGGAGATTGGTTTTATTTTTGAAGTCTTACAATGGCCCGTTTCACTTGCATGGACAGCTCCTTTAAATGCATGATGTAGGTCGACAGCAATAGATTCCAATGCCACACTTGGAATCAGCTCCAGACCTTTTACCTGTTTAACTGATGAACAAATAATGAAGTAGCCCACACCTGGCCATGGAACAGTTTTGCATTAAATTGTCCATTTACTTTTGGTCCCTTGGAAAAAAAAAAAAAAAAAAAAAAAAAAAAAAAAAAAAGGATGGCTACTCTTAAGAGCTGCAATTCCTAAACCCTTCCTCCAATTTGGATGTACATACCCTCAAATTAAACATGAGTGTGCACTTTCAGCCCATATCCATTATATAACTATAGTTTGAATATGTTTTTGGTAAATACGTGGAAAAAACTAAAAAAAAATTGTGCTCGCGTCCAAATATATATGGACCTAACTGTATATCATTTAAAACCAATCATTATATTAATGGAGTATGGGGGGCTGGGCAAAAAAATGTATCCACTTTATGGCAAACCACCAAAAGTCAGCTACTCAGAATAAATTATATGCCCAGGCTGGTTTATGAGCATAGTTGAAAGCTTCCTGTGTGATGGTAACACCACATGGTAAAAAACTATTAGCTCCATACTTAAAAACATTTTTGCCTAAAAAAAAAAAAGGAAAAATATGTTTTGTTTGCATTTTTTTCTTGTATCAGTAGTCAAATGTCTATATGGCGATGGCTCCTGAAGTGGATTAAGTCCATGAAACACATTGAGCCCAAGCCAATAGGAATGAGCCTAAAGTTTACAAAGAATTTGTATCACGTGGAAAGAAATTTACTGCTCCTTGATATTGTAAACGTTTAATTTTCTACACGGTTTACTGTTGCGAAATAGGAGGTTGTTTTACATATTGGATTTTGATACAAAATAAATAAATGATTTTATGTCTGTTGTGCCTCAAAAGTCCTCATTTTCAGGTCTTTTTTTGGCATACATTTACAATATTAGGTATGTAGCACAAACACAGATTTTAATATCAATTACCCTGTGTTCAATCACAGCTGATCACATGTAAAAGGGCCACTGTGATTGGCCCTTGATGTGGTCTGTAATCAGTTGTGTTTAAGGAGGCAAGGCATGTTCTGGGAGGAAGTCTATAGACCCCCTCGCAGAGCAAGAGAACCATGTTGTAGCCATCTTTCCGCTACAGTATAGTGTTCGAGTGGTCAAGTTTCATATGTTCCCTTTCCAGACAATGGGAGGGTGTCAGCAACAGTTTTCAGAAAACAATGGGCAGGACTAGATGTAGCCAGGTTCCAACTGACAAGCTACAGACTTGTGAATCAGCAGTGACAATGCTGATAGGCCACCCTCCCCACAAAATGTTTTCAACCCAAGATAGTGGCAGCAGCCACAATGAGTGTGATAACTCTGCTCTGATTGCAGCATTGCCATACCATTAGAGCAAGCTGTATGAAGTGGAATTCACCGCTCAGATATTTGTGGGGCATTGTAGGATGATGAAGAAAAAAAAAAAAAAAAAAACACTAAGTGGGGATGTACGTGGATTTTATTGCAAATTGCTTTTTATTCCTATACCAATCTGCAAATTCAAACATATGCCTCCAGCACAAATCCTGCTTCTATGTCCTTTGATGCGTCACATGAAACTTCTCTTGGGCCAACACCCAAAATCTGCAAATTTTGAAGCTGCTATGCTCAGGATAATGTATTAATTTTTACAGAATACCAATATTTACCATCATATCCACTGTCAACAGAAGCAGCAGATTCAGAATTTGCCTTCTTCCTGTGTAAACAAGGCTCTTGATCTCTCCTTATCCAATACATGCCTCCCTCTGTTTTCCACTGCTCATACTGCCAATTACTCTTCATTCTCTCAACCACAGCTATGAACAGTTCTGCTGCCAGGAAGTGCTCATTCTCCTAAAAAAAAAAAAAACACAAACAAACACCAAGCTAATAAAGCAATTCAAAAAAGTCTTCGTTTTCAATATTATGTTTACAATAAACAGAACAAATTCATTTAGATAGACATGGCTGACTGGCTCAGTTATGAAAGTTACATTCAGGTATCTTTTAAACCGTACTCATCTTTAAACCCGGTCTGTAAGGCATCAGTGAAAACCGTGCAAGTACAAATAGATGGTTATGCAATAATGCAGTAACCAGGTCACTTCACAGAAAACATTTGATTGGCTGCTATGGGTAATGGCACTTAGCAGATCATCGGTGCCATTTTCACTATCATGCTGAAGAATACCCATCTATCTTCCCAATTTACTTTGGTCTTATAATTAATATCTGAAAATGTTTATTAAAAAGTAAAGTAATCTAATCATTACCAGTTACATAGGTATTTGGCTCTTTCCAATTAAATAATGGATAAATATATGAATATCTGTTCTAGCAGAAGCAATTGAACAAAGCATACACAAGGGTTCATAAAACTGCGTGCAGTAATCAAAGTGTTCTTCTTGAAGATTAACCATTAGCCGCCCGGCCAATAGCCATTTGGCGGGCGGCAAAATGCTTTCGCTTTCCGGGTGGACGTCATATGGCGTACGCCCGGGCATGCGCAGTTTGCGCGCTTGCAGAGCCGCGCGATCTGTCACCGGCTGTGTACCTCGGATACGTACGACAGATCTGAGTACCGGCCCCCGTTGCTGGTACCATGTGACCTGCTGTGACCAATCACAGCAGGTCACAAGGCAGTTCTATACACAATGGATGGCTTCATTCATGCCATCCATTGTATACTTGTGTCTAGCTGAGAATGGTCACAGCGATCACATGCACATGTCATGTGATTAGCCGTGGCCAAAATCAGCTAAGCACAAAAAAAAAAAAAATTATACTGATCACTTCCCCAAAGTAGTACAATGTTACTATGGTAACATACTACTTTGGTCATAGTGAAATATGAAAAAAAAGTTTAAAAAAAGAAAAAAAAAATGTTATACAAATTAAAATTTTATATTTTTTTTTTCGTGCTGTCACCAGTCAGTGTCCCTGATCACCGCCATGCCAGTTATATGATGATGCTGTAATGCACTGGTGACAGTATGTAAAAAAAAAAAAAAAAAAAAAAAAAAGTTTAATTTTTTCATTTTCTTACAAACTTCAAAAAACTCGCCATGCCTGTTATGAAGTACTTCAGACGGTTTTGGAAAAAGGGGTCATTTGGAGGATATCTGTACTGTTCTGACATTCTTGGACCTCAAGAAATTAGATTGGCTGTCAGCACTTCAGGACTGATCAATTTTCAGATCTATACCATAGTTTGTGAACTCTATAACTTTCCTACAGACTAAAAAATACATCCTAATTTGGGTTATTTTCACCAAAGACATGTAGTAGAATACATCTTGGCCTAAATTTATGAATTATTTGCAAACTTTTATAACAAAGGACGTTTTTTTTTCAAAATTTTCGGTCTTTTTTTTGTTAAAAAATATAAAAACCCAGGCGGTGATTAAATACCACCAAAAGAAAGCTCTAGTTGTGTGAAGAAAATTATAAAATTTTAGTTTGGGTACAATGTTGTATGACCGTGCAATTGTCAAAGTGTGAGCGCTGAAACCTGAAAAATGGCCTGGGCAGGAAGGGGGTAAAAGTGCCCGGTATTGAAACAGTTAAAGACACAGGTAAAACTGGTCATACACGGATTGAAATTCAGCGAGCCCAACAGGGAGCAGCTACATTTCCATCGATGTGTGTGGGCTCCCCAGCTTTAGAAGTTGAGGTTTATTGGACTTCTGTTGAAAGGACATGGTGTTAAATCCTCCACTGGCCAGAGGCTGCAGCCTGTCTTAAAAGATAAAGTTTAATTACTCATTTTCTAATGGTCACTTCATCACACTGCAATGCCCCATAAATATCTGCTCAGCCTGCTGGTGAAGTCCACTTAAGTGGTTGTGAACCCTTCTATAAACACACAGCCAGTGAAGTAACCGGCCTCATGTGAAAACAGATGACAAAATCCTCCTACATACATTGTGCCCATTTCTGTACAGTCAAAGTCCAAAATTTATACAGTTTGTCTGAGCTACCAGAGGAAGTGGGCGGAGAGCTGAAGTCACACACTGCAGAGCTCCATAACAAGCTCTGAGAGTTGATTGGAAGGGACACACCCTCCTTCATACAGAACAGAGCAAAGGCCATCAAATCACAGGTTGTGTGCTGGAGCTCCCCCCCAGTCACCTTTTTTCTCTTGGTGTCAGGAAACTTGTCAGGAGTGACTCATGCAGATAAGATGAACAAGACAGCAGACAAAATGACACTTCATTTTCTGGATTTATGCAAGTACATAACTATAGATGGATATACTTTCTTCACATATCCACCATTAACTGTTACTGCATCCCCTGTGGAATTCGAATGTCTGGTGTCAGGGAACTAGAATTCCACAGGGGATGTGGTAACACTGAGTTATTGGTGGATCTAGTGAGGTAGTGCTGCACCATTTATACTTATTTAACCACCTCCCGTCGCCATATAATAATATGATGGGCGCAAGGTGGTTCTCACGTTCTGGGAGGACGTCATATGACGTCCTCCCATTCTCACTGCGCATGCGCAGCTCAGGGAGCACGCAGCGCGGCGATCAGCGGTGCGCTGTGTCCCTCGGACACAGCGGATCACCAATCACGGAAAGAGCCGAAGATGTCAGCTCTGTCATGTGATCAGCTGTGTCCAATCACAGCTGATCACATGTAAACAGGGAAATGCCAGTTATTGGCATGTCTCTCCTCTCGAGCTGTCACGCTGACAGCTCGAGAGAAGAGCCAGTAATCGTCTATCTGCGGAGGGGACATGTACACTGATCACCAGGGCACTGATGATCAGTGTGCCCTGATCAGTGTAGCCCCAGCAGTGCCACCCAACAGTGCCAGTCAGTGCCGCCCAACAGTGCCATATATCAGTGATGCCTATCAATGCCCATTAGCGCACATCGGTGCAGCCCCATTAGCGCACATCAGTGAAGGAGAAAAATCACTTATTTACAAAATTTTATAACAAAAACTAAAAAAAAAAAAAAAAAAACTTTTCAAAATTTTCAGTGGTTTTTGGTTTAAGAAAAAAAAAAAAAAAACCCAGAGGTGATTAAATACCACCAAAATAAAGCTCTGTCACAAAAAAATGATAAAAATGTCATATGGGTACAGTGTAGCATGACTGCGCAATTGTCATTCAAAGTGCGACAGCGCTGAAAGCTTGCAAATTGGCCTGGGCAGGAAGGGGTATAAGTGCCCTGTAGGCTAGTGGTTAAGAATAGAGTGTAGCCTGTAAAACTGGTCAAGACTGAAAAGCAACTCAACATTGCAGGCTACGAACAGGATAAAAAGGTTACACAAAATGTATAAATCCACTTTTGTTCATATCACTAAACGAATTATGAAAAAAGTGCCATAATTTCAAACACCACAGATAATTCAATATTGGGTGGTATTTGGAGTTTATATTTTTGAATCAAAAGCATTTCCCATTGCAACAGTTTCATACCCATAATTAACGGATTGCCCAATTTCCTTGTATCAAGGTCAGAAATAGAATGCTCAACCCATCTTTCACGTCTGTGTGAACAAAACACTAAAGGTTTTTACATTTGAGGCAAGCCTTGCCAGATCACTGAATTGTGATCTGAAGACTGTTAACCTGTTCCAGCCTTATCCACCACAACACAATACAAGTGGTTGCAACTTGTACCCGTTTTATTGAATGGGTCATGTTCGGAGGTGGTACCATCTGAACAGTTAACGGATTATAATTTTGGCATCTGTAAAACTACATTCAGCCGATGACCTAGTTTAAAGTGGTATTAAACCCAAAAGCAAACATATTGTAGCTTACCATTTCTTAGATGTGTGAAAACCTCTCTTCAGGGAAGCCTATCCTGCCCTCAGCCAGTAATGGAATCTTCTACTCTTCCAACCAGTCCATCCCCCACAGTTACTACCTTTTGTACCACTAGCCTCTCCCTCCTAGATTGTAAGCTCCAAGGAGCAGGGTCCTCCTATCCCTCTTGTATTGAACTGTATTGTCTCCCGTTATATTGTAAAGCGCCGAGAAACTGTTGGCGCTATATAAATCCTGTATAATAATAATAAATAATAATGTGGTGGTTGCACCAACTAATGTTGCCTCCACATCCAACAATTGGTAAACTAAAAAATATTACACTTTTAGTATTGGGTTTAATACCAATTTAAGGGGGGTGGAGAAGCCCTTAGGGATATTAATCAGGGCACAAAATGAGACATTCAAACATGTATTGCTATGTACTTCTGCAATGTTCCGGGTGCATGCGTTTTAAATTACAGCGAACAAGCAGATTAAGTAATGCTAACCAAGGACATGAAGTGAAAGGTCACTTAGTCTGGCCAAAGGCCTTATGTTTGTTTATGTCAGTGTCAGAAAACTGTCTGAAAGTGAAGGGGGAGACAGATGGAGTTTTGACTCTCACAGTTTCCCTGGGATAAGCAGGTACAAGCCCACCACACTAGTACATTATGTTAACATGCATGTTCAACAAGTAGCATTTGTGCATCAATTTTCAATGCAATAGGTTAATTCTGAATGGGCTTCCAGTACACTCCAATGCACATTAAACTGGCCTTCCAGCATGTGTTACAGTTCAGCGCACCACAAAGCACAACTTGTTCACAGCTGTGTTGTAGTGTCCAACTCACATGTTGGAATCCATTCAAAATGAACAGCACCCCACTGCATACACTGTGGTAATGTGCGTTACTGCAACACTCTAGTGCAGTGATGGCGAACCTTTTTGAGCCCGAGTGCCCAAACTGCAACCCAAAACCAACTTATTTCTTCAAAGTGCCAACACTGCAATGAAACCTGAATATCGAGCTTTTGGTTTAGAAAAAAACAACTCGTACAGTAGTGCAAACTAATTAACAGTACAGGGATGACCAGAGACTGCGGACACAGTACAGGGGATGACCAGAGACTGCGGACACAGTACAGGGGATGACCAGAGACTGCGGACACAGTACAGGGGATGACCAGAGACTGCGGACACAGTACAGGGGATGACCAGAGACTGCGGACACAGTACAGGGGATGACCAGAGACTGCGGACACAGTACAGGGGATGACCAGAGACTGCGGACACAGTACAGGGGATGACCAGAGACTGCGGACACAGTACAGGGGATGACCAGAGACTGCGGACACAGTACAGGGGGGATGACCAGAGACTGCGGACACAGTACAGGGGATGACCAGAGACTGCGGACACAGTACAGGGGATGACCAGAGACTGCGGACACAGTACAGGGGATGACCAGAGACTGCGGACACAGTACAGGGGATGACCAGAGACTGCGGACACAGTACAGGGGATGACCAGAGACTGCGGACACAGTACAGGGGATGACCAGAGACTGCGGACACAGTACAGGGGATGACCAGAGACTGCGGACACAGTACAGGGGATGACCAGAGACTGCGGACACAGTACAGGGGATGACCAGAGACTGCGGACACAGTACAGGGGATGACCAGAGACTGCGGACACAGCACGGGGATGACCAGAGACTGCGGACACAGCGCGGGGATGACCAGAGACTGGGGACACAGCGCGGGGATGACCAGAGACTGGGGAACAGCGCGGGGATGACCAGAGACTGGGGACACAGCGCGGGGGGATGACCAGAGACTGGGGACACAGCGCGGGGATGACCAGAGACTGGGGACACAGCGCGGGGATGACCAGAGACTGGGGACACAGCGCGGGGATGACCAGAGACTGGGGACACAGCGCGGGGATGACCAGAGACTGGGGACACAGCGCGGGGATGACCAGAGACTGGGGACACAGCGCGGGGGATGGATGGGATGACCAGAGACTGGGGACACAGCGCGGGGATGACCAGAGACTGGGGACACAGCGCGGGGATGACCAGAGACTGGGGACACAGCGCGGGGATGACCAGAGACTGGGGACACAGCGCGGGGATGACCAGAGACTGGGGACACAGCACGGGGATGACCAGAGACTGGGGACACAGCACGGGGATGACCAGAGACTGGGGACACAGCACGGGGATGACCAGAGACTGGGGACACAGCACGGGGATGACCAGAGACTGGGGACACAGCACGGGGATGACCAGAGACTGGGGACACAGCACGGGATGACCAGAGACTGGGGACACAGCACGGGGATGACCAGAGACTGGGGACACAGCACGGGGATGACCAGAGACTGGGGACACAGCACAGGGATGACCAGAGACTGGGGACACAGCACAGGGATGACCAGAGACTGGGGACACAGCACAGGGATGACCAGAGACTGGGGACACAGCACAGGGATGACCAGAGACTGGGGACACAGCACAGGGATGACCAGAGACTGGGGACACAGCACAGGGATGACCAGAGACTGGGGACACAGCACAGGGATGACCAGAGACTGGGGACACAGCACAGGGATGACCAGAGACTGCGGACACAGCACAGGGATGACCAGAGACTGGGGACACAGCACAGGGATGACCAGAGACTGGGGACACAGCACAGGGATGACCAGAGACTGGGGACACAGCACAGGGATGACTGCTGACCTTTGGGGAGGGAGGGGGAGCGGGTACCTGAATTTGACAGGTACCCGCTCTTACTTCCGCAGAGTTTTTTTTTTTTATCTTACCTGTTCCTCGATCCAGCCGCGCGCTGTCTTCCCGGCTTCTGTAGTGTGGGCGCTCGTCGGACAGCCGGATGCCCAGTGCGCATGCGCGAGAAGCGCTGCGCTTTGTGATTGGTCCGGCGGCTTCTGGGATCTGTCATGTGTCCCAGGTACCGCCTTAACCATTCACAAGGAGCACTGCTTCTTGTGCATGCGCACTTGGGACCCGGCTGTCACGCACACTACAGCCGGGAAGACAGCGCGCCGCTGGATTCTCCTGGCGTGCCCACAGATAAGGCTCGGCGTGCCGGCTGTGGCACGCGTGCCACGGGTTCGCCACCACTGCTCTAGTGTGAGCTGGTCCTGTCAGCCTGCTCCTCCCCTCTAGACACGTGTACACTCAAGGCAAGCCAGCATACAGCTGTACATACTGTCAGTAGTGTCTGCATTATTGGCAGCAGCAGACATTCTGCAGGGAGCTTCTAACAGCAGACACATTAGGCTTGCCATCTTTCGAGTTTGGACATGCAAGTGGTGAAATCACACCTGGTTATGATGTAATATTTTTAAGTTCACACACTCTGGACAGACCAGAGTTAAAAAAAAAAAAAAAAAAAAAAAAAAAAGTTTACTTACTTTCTCCAAGTTTACAGCTGGTTCAAAGAGAGATTTTCAGCAGTGGTATGGAGTTCTGTGCTTGAAGTCACCAAATTCTCAGCTGCTGAACAAAGAAAGGCAAGCAATACCATTAAAAGACATTGCAAGACATTGAAATTCGTCCTTCAGATGTAAAAAAAAAAAAAAAAAGTTACTGAAAATATCGTTTTTAAACACACACAAACAAAAAAGGGAAACGCTGCAAGATTTGCAGGTGTGAAAGGGACAATGTTTTGAGTTGAAAGTGGAAGCGATTTAACCCACACCTAGGTGGGAAGCCTCACTTCCCATCCCTTTCTATCACTGCATGTGCTGGTAGTAATACGGAGTCATGACAGAGCGTGCTGAGCTTTAAAGAGAGCAAATTGTTGGTGCAAGACAACGTTTTTTCCGGAAATTATATGCCTTGCAACACAGCAAACAAATCAACTTTAGTCACAGAGGCACCAGCTAAGCAGCACCAACAATTTGTCCACTCTGAAGCTCAGTAAACTCTGCCATGACTCTGTACTACTACTAGCAGCGCATGCAGTGAATGAAAAGTGAGTCTTCCCACCTGTAGGCATCTCATCACACAGCATAAGCAAAAGAATTTTACTTCACTTCCGGTTTCAACGCGAAACATGTCACTTTCACACCTGCAAATCAGATCGTGTTTCCATTTTGTGTCTAACCCCTGTATATACACAGGCACACTGATGTTTAGTGCACAACTATTGGGAGGTTAAGCCAACAACACCCTGTAGAAAAGATTTCCAAACCATGAATCAGGTCACTATTCACCATGGTAGGTTAGGCATGCCACAAGTAGTCAGGATTTACAGGTTAAAAAACAAACCACCTACAGGAGTACACCAATCCCAAAACAGTTGAGACACTAAAATCTACATTAAAAAAAACGCAATGATTTGTTAATATCAAATCCAAATTTTATTCACAATAGAAAACATTTAATGTTTATACTGAGAAAATGGACCATTTCAACTACTTGCGCTCCAGAGGATTTACCGCCCTTCCTGACCAATTTTTTTTTTGCGTTACAGCGCTGCGTTACTTTGATTCTGCTACAGGTCTGCTTAAAAAAAAAAAAAAAAAAAATCCCAATACGTGTGAATTTATGTGAAAGTTAAAGCATTTACAAAATGGTGGTATATATACACATTGGGAGTTTGTTTTTTTTTTAATTACTAATCAGCGACTTATAGCAGCGGGTATTCTGACACTGAGGGGAACTGACTTGGTGTCACTGAGATCCCCAGTGACACCAATACAGTGGTCAGTGCTAATTAAAAGCATTGACACTGTACTAATGGCAGTGGGCAGGAAGGGGTTAACATGTGGGGTGATCAAAGTGTTAACTGTGTGCCATTTTACATTGTGTCCTCTGTGTGCACACGCTTTACTGTAAGCACACTGCTTTGCTATGCACAGCCATGCAAAGCAGTGTGCAGGAGCTGACAGGAGAGAACTGTATTGTTTACAAACAGTTCCCCCTCCCCCTTCCTTGGAGATGCTCGGCAGTCACCGGGCGTCTGAGTAATCGTCCGAGACCCGGTGATTGACAGTCAAAGCTGCGAATTGCGGCATGGGTAGGGTGCGCGCTCCCTACCCGGAACTGCAAAATCACACATACATACACACGTGATTTTACACACCCATGCCACCCTGTAGCAGTACCTCTGCTATAGGGTGGATGGGAAGCGGTTAAGAAAAAATTTTAACTTGACAGGAGCATCATCTCAAAAGTTAGGAGAGGGCAACGTCAGTGTTACTAACAAGAAAGTGCTGGAAGAACATTTTGTAACCAATTGGACACGGTCTGTTGGCCCTACTCATGGGAAACTCTCATACAGGCTTCGGCCCTTTGTCTTATATGGCAATCCAAGAGCATGCGTGCACATTAATATAGATGTCTCTAATGCCTTCTCACTCCAGAGAAGTACCAAGTAAGCCTACCCACTTTCACCACTCATTTGCCATAGCCATGGAGCCATTGGTGTTAGCCATTTGACAGACACCAGATGCAAGTGGCATTTGCTGGGGCCCTTTGGAGGAGATCTTCATGCACAGATGTTACTTTACTTGGATGGGTTTGAAGCCTAATTTTCCTGAAGATTTTCAGAAAGTCAGTTGTGTCTTGCAGGAAACTAGCAGTATTCTAAGCTCAAAGAAGCAAGCCTCATTCTGTAACTTGACGCATGTGATGCAGGAGCTCGGAGAGGTCTCTGGCCTTAGTGTGGGTTGGGAATGGGATAAGTCGATCACTTTTCCTATTGGCCTTATAAAGCCATATTGCCCATCTACAACATTGCACTCTACAGATCTCTGCAAATCTCTCAAGCCATCTCGATCCCTCTACACTCTACCTTAGTCAACCCCTCCACCACTTTAGATCTGAACTAGTTCCCCGAAGTGCTGACATTAAAAAAAGGGTGACATTTATAGGGTTGTACCCCAAGCGCTGCTCTAAACACTCCCCTGAAATGTATGCTTTTTAGCTTGGTTTGTAAAACCACGTACTTCACCCAAGACTCCTTAAATACTACTCCGTATAACTACAAATTGCAAGAACACGGTCACCGCGATTCCAGTTGGTGGCATCTAAAATCCCTGTATAATACTATGAAGGGGAATTACAGAAACTAGAGCATGCAAACTCGGTTGCAACTCTGGATAGAAACCAATCAGATTCCAAGTTCTCAAAGCTTAACTGAACAAGCTGAAGTTAGAAGCAGATTGGCAACTATGCACAGCTGCTCCAGATTCTGAGTGCTCCAGTTTTAGTAAATCTCCCCTTATGTGTAAGATGGCAGTTTCCTTGAGCTCTGCATAGCCTTTCGCCAACAATGGACCTGTTGTGATGTTGATGGCTAGGTTTGTGTTTTTCTTTGAATATCTCGGGAGGACACACACTTTAAAAATTCTGTGATGGACATCACTGCATGGACTCAGGAATACTTCCAACAATCACTGTCTGAACACAGCTCACCAAACCATCCAAAAATCCAAGCTAAATCTCTATCATGCAAAGAAGAAGCCATATCTGAACATGATCCAGAAAAGCTGCAGTCTTCTCTGGGCCAAAGAGCATTTAAAATGGTCTGTTGCAAAGTGAAAAACTATTCAGTGGTCAGACGAATCAAAATGTGCCTTTTTTTGGCAACCATGGGTGCCATTTCCTCCGGAAGGAGGAGAGGGGACCTTCCGGTTTGTTATCAGCGCTCAGCTCAAAAACCTTCATCTCTGATGGCATGGGGATGCATTAGTGGATATGGAATGGGCAACTTGCACATCTGGAAAGGTACCATCAATGCTGAAAGATATATCCAGGTTTTAAAGCAACATATACGTTCTGGCAAGAACTGCACAACATTCCTCTCCCAAAACAACTGGTATCCTCACTTCCCAGATGCTTACAGTGTTAAAACAGGGTATGCTACACTTGAAGAAAAAAAAAAAAAAAAAAAAAAAAAAAGGTATGTACATTTTCTCATCTCAAACATTTAATAGGTTTTCTATTTCAAATAAAATATGGGTTTATGAGATTTTACACTTTTTGCAATTGGGAGTTGTAAAATCGCATATACCAGCAATTGCAGCTATACATTACAGAGAGTATGTCATGTACTAGAAATGTATCTGAATTCATTCAATAATGCTTCTACAAACATTTGTGAAAGAATGGGTCACTCTCAGGAGCTCCGTGAATTAAAGCGTGGCATTGTGATAGGTTGACACCTGTGCAATAAATTTGCACAGATGGCAACCTATAAAAATTTAAATTTCCTTGTTACTAAATATTCCATGATGAGCTGTTAGTGGTATTATAACAAAGTGGAAGCAACTGGGAACCAAAGCAACTTAGCCACAATGTGGTATGCCAAGTAAAAATGATACAGCGGGGTCAGCACGTCGAAGCGCATAGTGCGCAGAAGTCGCCAACTGTCTGCTGAGTCCATAGCTAAAGCCCTACAAACTTCATGCGGCCTTCAGATTAGCACAACAGTGCGTAGAAAGATTCATGGAATGGGTTTCCAAGGCCAAGCAGCTGCATCCAAGTCTTATATCACCAAATGCATTGCAAAGCGTCAGATGCAGTGGTGTAAAGCACGCCGACCCCGGACTCTAGAGCAAAGGAGACGCGTTCTCTGCAGTAACAAATCACACTGCTCTGAATGTCTGGGTTTGGTGGTTGCCAGGAGAACGGTACTTTCTTGACTGCATTGTGCAAAGTGTAAAGTTTGGTGGAGAGAGCATTATGGTGTGGGGTTTTTCAGGGGTTGGGCTTGGCTTCTTTGTTCCAGTGAAGGGAACTCTTAAGGCGTCAGCATACAAAGACATTTTGGACAATTTCATGATCCCAACTTTGTGGGAACAGTTTGGGGATGGCCCCCTCCTATTCCTGTACATGATTGCGCATCAATGAACAAAGCAAGGTCCATAAAAGACATGGATGAGCGAGTTTGGGGTGGAGGAACTTGACTGGCCTGCACAGAGTCCTGACCTCAACCAGATAGAACACCTTTGGGATGAATTAGAGCAAAGACTGCAAGCCAGACCTTCTAGTCTGACATCAGACCTTGACCTCACAAATGCGCTTCTGGAAGAATGGTTAAACATTCCCATAAACACACTCCTAAATCTTGTGGACAGCCTTTCCAGCAGAGTTGAAGCTGTTATAGCTGCAAAGGGTGGGCCAACTCAATATTGAACCCTACGGACTAAGACTGAGATGCCATCAAAAGTTCATGTGTGTGTAAAGGCAGGCATCTCAAACTTTTGACAGTATAGTGTGTTCCCAACTCTGATGCTTCCTTTACCATTGGACTATCCTTTCATTCATAAATTTCAGGCAAAGTGCTAAAAAAAAAAAAAAAAAAAAAAAACCCGTATGAGAGCGGTTGTCCTTGCTAATGCTTTGTAATTAGGTTTTGCCATTGTCCGCAAGCTCCCAGTGTTGTGCAATGCTTACTGGCTCACACAGCTGACCAGCAGTCTTTTGCCAAGTAAAAGATTACAGGTAACTGATATAAAAAGGCCAATTCCAGTATTTAAAAAAAATTTTATTAAATATACTGTATACCTGCATTACAAATGGTGAGTTTTGGGGCCTACTCATACTACTTGTAGTACAGGAAATGCGCGTTTCCCACACCACACTTGTGCCATTTATTGCTGATGGCACCCCAAACATCTGGAGGCCACAAAAACGCATGCTGCAGTACCATGTTTGGTACAGCAGGATTTGTGTGCATTCAAATAAGTTTAGTAGAGCACCAACAATAAAGGGATATCAAGACCGCACACATTGTGGTGTGAAACGCCCTTAATGATCCATCTGAAACAAATATAATATGCTTTCCTATCCAAATTACTAATGCTGGCAGCATAAGGATTCAAAATAGTCAATGCTGATTGAGAGAATGCAATTTCAATTTAAGTACAGCAATTATTTCAAACATCAAGAGGAATTTCCCATTTCAGTAGTCATACATTGCATCAAAATTATGAGACATGAACCAAAGATGTTTCCAAAGATGAAAAAAAAAAAAAAAAAAATTATAAAACCATATCATTGAATAACATCCACCTTACAAAAGCAAGCTGTAAACAGTCTTAAAACTAATGTGGCCCTACTGGTTCTCCTGGAATGTGAGAAACTTGAACAGCATTAGTGCACAGATTAATCTAGCTTGACAAGCTGCTGATATTGAATAGTGAGGTTTCCTCCATCTGCAGTCCTCCAGTTATATTTTGCCTCTCTAAATACTGCAGCACCTCATTGCAGGTCATGCAGCACTTTTGAACGTTTTAGAATTCATTAAGTCTCAGAATTTTTTTAATATTATTGTAATGCCATATGTAAGGATTGTTCTCTTATGTTCAATTAGATATTCCACAAAATGCAGTGTGGCTCAATTGTTGGCAAGGTCCGTTGAGGATATCATTCCTTTTGAATGGCACCACATCACACCATTACAAGTAGCATGCGGTGCAAACTGTTGCGGTAATGTGCACGTTCTGGGTCTTATTGCAGAGGAAAAGAGGGAGAGTGACTAGGTTATTTCTCATTTGATCATAGTTTGCCATTTTTATACTGAAGTATGTCTGCGTTTGCCAAACCTGTTGTGCTGGTGAAATCCTGCACTCTGGTTGTACTGACAGTACTATCCATCTCTGTTTGTCCCCTTAGCACCCACTTTTGTTGGTTTCTTTGCAGATGTAAAAAGTGCACTGGATGATTGTAATGCATGTGGAAACGCGTATTAATGCAGCGTTTGTGGTGTGAAATAACCCTAAGCTTTACAACCCATAGCACATGAAAGAAAAGTGCAAATTTATAAAACAGCAATTAATGTCATCATGATGTCTCAAGTTACAGTAATGATGTCAAGGTTTTGCTACATTTCATGCAATACAATAAGCATTAAAAAAAAAATGTTTAAAAAACATCAGTGCTTTGCACCAAAAGTAAAAAGTTACCTTTAGGAATGCAGGAATAGGACTTTGACCTACGGTGGAAAGTCTTGCCATCTTCTACAGTATAGGTGTCAGTGTCCACTGTGGCTGTAAGTACAGGAATAACGTCTTTTTCTGATGAGGGATCATGTGAACTTGGATTCAAATTTGAATTAAAATTCAGACTAGAAAGATTAGGTGAAGAGAATCGTCTGTCTTTTTGGGAGTTCAAAGTGAAATTCAGTTGTGAGGCGCTGGATCCAATTAAAACAACTTCTGCACAATGGTCGCTTTTCCGGAAAGGTGAACGTCCCATTTCAGTATCAAAACTCTTTGAGCAGGCGATGGGATCAGTTTGTGAGGAAGTGGTTGGCTCCACTGCAATGGTTACCGGAGAGTCTGACTGCGAGTTATCCCATGATGCTTTGTGTCTACTCAATCGAATATCATGTTGTGAAAAGGAACTTAAAGGGGCACAATCAGAATCACTGTCTGAATCATTGCCGCTTTCCACCCAGTTCTCTGTATCACTGTCCTGGATATTTGTATTCACAGTTAATGTGGGTTTTACAGTGCTTGGAATGTTTAAAACAGAAGCTAGAATTTCCTTTATGGCTGTAGCACTGTCTACATACGATCCATTGCTCCCTCCCAGTCCAATGACAGCTGGCCGGGGTAATTCATCTGCACGAAAACAAAACAAAAAATAAAATAGAGAAAACTAATTAAACTCCTACCCCTGATTCAAATTTGTGCAGGTGCTGCCACTGCGGGACCAGCACAAATACCTGAAGCCGTACCACGCACACAGGAATGCAGGACCTGCATACTGGTGCCATTAATTTTAATGGCACACCCCCTGCACTGGAAATCACAACTGTATTCAGAACCTTGGTTCCCATGCGGCTGCAATTTTTAAAGTAGTGCAGAGACTTCTTCCCTGCGTGTCCCGGGGCACGGGAGTCTATTCAAATGAATAGGCTCTCGTGCTAATCACAGCCTGCACAGATGTGAAACAGGGGCGAGAAAGAAAAGGACAGGAGGACAGATTGAAGTGATCATTGCACAGGTAAGCAAGCACTGCATAACGGTTGATTGCCCCTTTTTGGTTGGCACGGCACAAATGTAAATTCAAGAACAAAAGACTTGGCAACAAATCAAAATTTCAAAAAGGTGAACTGATGCAGACCTAAAATATGGTTTTGGTAATCTGAGTCCACAGGTCTGTATGGCCATCTCTAAATGGACCTCAGCGATAAAACCTTAACACAAGTTCCCAACTTTGTTTGCCACATCTTGGAAGTTTAGTATGTATACAGTAGCAAAGGAGAGGCTCATTATTACTGCTGTATTCTTTAAACATTAGGTAAATGGAAAATCTAAGACAGAGATAGAGGGAAACTACCATGTACTGAACAGATTAGCAGGGATAGAAGGAGATCAATCACTAAAACATAAAATCTGTGGGTGACCCAAATTGTCCTGGATCTGCCAAGGTCAAATCTGGTTCTAATAATCCTGTAAAATATCACTTTGAATAATAGGACAGTAGGAAAGTACCTAAATACAAAGTCACTTCTGTAGTGATGTACTAGGTTTATGCACCCAAGACCCAAAATGACAACAGCAAAATAATGCAGTAGGATTGCAATACCTGCAGAAAACATAATGGTGGGAATCCTAGACATCTTTGTCCGAGAAGGATCTGGAACATCCATTGTTTTAAGGCCACTGTAAAGACTGACATCACTACTTGCCTAAAAAGGAGGGGGGGAAAAAAAAAATGTAAATCCATAAAACGTTGTTCCAGTACACTGGAACATGTGCAGTATCATATGCGCAAATCAAAGTCCCTACAATATATGGCATCTGAATAAGACAATGGCCAGAAAAGCCAAATATTTTTCCCCCATTACTTACATGCTTTTTTAATCTCTACGATTATAATACAAGTTATATTGTTGGATAAAAGACCCACTCTGCCCATTTCCAAAGTGAGATGTAAAATTTCTGGACATTTTGAATCCATGGGTCAAAACACACACACACACACACACACACACACACACACACACACACACACACACACACACACACTTTTTCCCCTCAGGCAAAAAAGAAATGGAAATAGAAAAACTGTAAAACTATGGCAGTCTGGTGTAAAACTACTTCACACTGACTTTATTATTAAATTGTATTATGCTTGAAATAAAAGCAAAGCTTATTCAGCAAATAAACTAAACTGGCTTTTTAATTCTATATTACAAATGGAACAACAAGGATTGTATACGTTAAGAACATTTGAACTCTACATGAGAATATGTAACCACCCACCTTTCCCTCACAATAATGTAAACTCTTCCTACCGCATTTACACATTTTCAGGTATTGACAAAGCTTATCCAAGAGCATATATATTTCAAGAGCTTGATTAATTTTCTCCTGATTTTCAGGCGTCTATCTATAAATGAAAGAATTCAGTTTCTGGATCATCAAAAGGTGTTTGTGTAGGGAAAAGCTACTCACTTTCATTATGGTGCTCATCATTCATGTAGCATTTAATTCCTGGAATTCAACTGCCCTTAGCTCAGGCATGCAGGGAAGAGTGCTTAGCCGAGAAAGCCCCTCCTCCCTCCCTGAAGACTTTTTCTTCAAAAAATAAGTAAATATATATCTTCCTATTTACTAAATGCTAGCAGCATAAGGATTAACAAAGTCCATGTTGATTGAGTGAAGTTCCGGTTTAAAAAGATTAGTCCAGACTGTTCTACAGCCACCACACTAAGACGTGACAGGTGCCTGTACAGTACTGTACCTCCCGGCAGCTAAGATTCAAAGGCAGAAAAGCACCAAAGCCAACAAACCTGCAAAACAGGGTCAATCTGATCTCAGCGCCACCATCTCCCTTTCAGTGTAGTGGAAAGGTGGGCCAACCATTGGGAGGCCGCGTCAACTGATAGTTTACTTTGCTTTTCAGCATAACAGTAAAGATGGATTGGATGTGTGTGTAATCAGAAGTCAGGTAGAATGCAGCTACAGAATTACACTATATAAAGAAAAGAAGATACATAGCAAAACAACTTAACATAGCAGTATATTGAAAGCAATGGGATCTGCTACTTCTCCAAACCAGAGTTCAAACAAAACTGCACATCATAAAATCAGCATTCCAACTTTTCCACTGTCCACATTTTTCACCTCAAATCAGCAGCAGTACTGGAAGCGTATGATTATCTAAGCATACTATTCAACAGTATGCTCTATCCAAGTGAAAAAAAAAAAATATATATATATATATATATGGGAGGCCTTTATTCTTTCCTGCTACAATTCTTATCCAGAATGGGGGGGGGGGGGGGAGGGAGGAGACTGCTGTTTTTTTTTTTTTAAATAATTTGAGACTTCCAATTTAAAAAAAAAAAAAAAACAAAAAAAAAACAAAAAAAACACACCTACCTGTCTTCACTCACAAAGTCAGGAAGCAGAGAACCTGCCAGAGGTCTCAGAGCGATGGGTACTGTGATTCCTTTGCTCACACACAGGGGGGGGGGGGGGGGGGGGGGGTTTGACCATTCGGGCATGTCCAGATTGCCCAGGATCAGTAGGGGGCCCTATGAGAGGCTCCACAGGATGTCATACAGGGGCAGCATATTTAGGTCTGTCTGAATAATGTGTCCGCCTGAAACCCAGACACTATTCAGACAGGAAAGTGGCTGAGCGGGACCTGTTAGGATGGGAGCGGATGAGGTGGTGAGAGAAATGTGTACCCAATGAGCAGGGGACTGCTGGTGACAGTGTGGTGAGCAGAAGAGGAGACAGTGGCAGCTTCAGATCCTGGCAGTAGTTCACCCTTCACTTCACGTAGTGAAAGGGAGTCAGGGTCCCAGGCAGCAGCAGTGCCTCGCTACACACGGGTGATTGAGCTGGCAGGCAGCGGGAAGGTGAGAGGAATCCATAATATTGGTACACTGACTAACAACCCCTTTACCACGGCTGATGATCAGGGAACCCTGCTCCCTGCTAATAGGAATTTACAGACTACAGTATAAAATTTGAGGTGGGGGTGTCCACCCAGTGTAATTTCGGGGGGGGGGGGGGGGGGGCTGGGAAGTAGGTTGGCCATAACCACCTCCCAAGCTAGCTTCAGCAGGACCTCGATGCTTTTGTCCATGGGCTCCTTCAGCACATCCAAATCTCCAAAATGGACAGGTCCATTGATTTGGAAACTTGATAGGCCACATCCAGTTTTAGGGATCTTGCTCCAGGGACAAGAACCCTCATCAAAAAACAAACTACGTTTCAAGCTTTTTGGAAAAACATTGGTCTTCTGGAACATGCATACATACCACTTTATTACAAACAGCATAAAAACACAAATTCATCCCACATCCATCCACTCCTTGCCTCACCCCACCAACCACCCCCTTGTCTTCCCACTCTTAATTTACTTCTTGATCTTCTGGTATATTCCTTGTCGACTTATCTACCCTCTTATCCATCTCTATACTTTTATTTCTTTTAACGCTTCTAAATATATCTTTTGGATTTTTTAAAGTCACCCAACTTCCAAGATTAAAATGTTTCAAACTTTATCCTCATCTATAATGGTATAATTCCTCCATCATACATATACACACACTCTACTCTAGATATCCAATCTTATTTTATGGGGTTCTGTTGCTTGCCAATGTTTAGGGACAAGACCTGTGGCTGCATTTATTAAATGAAATATTACATTTTTATAATGCTTCACAGATGTCTCAGATATATGAAAGAGATCCACAGATCTAGTGGTATACTAATACTCAGCATCTCCTTTATGTATTGAATTATCACCCGCCAGTACTCCTGTATTTTGGGACAATACCACCAAATGTGTGCCACTGTTCCCTTAATCTCACACCCTCGACAACATAAAAGGTGGTACTTCTGATCTTTGCTTTTGTGCTATATACCATCTTACAAGCCAGTTATAATTCATTTCAACCGTGTACATATTCACTACCCCATGTGTTAATCTAAACAATTTAGTTTTGTTGCTCATTCAAATTTTGTTCCAAGCTCCTCTTCCTACTTCCCTAAGAACCCTTGGGATTCTGATCCAGATATTTCAGTAAGGATCTTATAAATGCTAGAGATAGCATGTTTTTGTATTTTGTTTAAAACATATGTTCTAGGGGATACATATCCTCTTTCCTTAATGGTTGTGGAAGCATTGCAACAAAAAGGTCTCAATTGATAATACCGCCATTCATCTAATACTGAAAATCTCCTTTTTTTAATTTGTGAAAAGAACATAAATTCCCTTTATTCACAATCTCATTCAAAACATGTATTATCCTTTATCCATTTTTCTGAAATGTTATTCCCAGGTGGGAAAAATTTTGTTCCCACCAATGGAATTAAAAGAGTTATACGTCCATTCCATCTGTCATTGCAATGCATCCCATATCCTCAATACATTCCGTGTCAAGGTGCTAGTTTCTTCATCCAGTGAACAAAACGCATGTGGTATCCAAAAAATCATATCTAATTCTGACTTCGTGTATTCTCTATTTTTACCTAACTTCTCCCCCGTGAATTATATATTCAATCCCCTATTCGTGACATTAACACTGAGGCACAATATCTCCTAAAATCTGGGATATTTATTCCCCCCTCAGGTTATTACTCAAAATGTCATATTTAACTTTTTTTTGGCATACATCTGGTTTTTTTTTTGTTTTTTGTTTTTTTTAATGGTCCCAAAAAAGACCCTGGTAGTTGTATTGGGAGCATATTAAACTTAAACAAGACTTTTGGTACTATGAAAGTCCATCATGTTTATGCGACCTATCCAGGACTCCCATCCCCTTGAAATTCTCCTCAATTTGTCCTTCATTTTATTAGTGGGATATAAATTTGCCTGATATAGATTTTTTTTTTAGGGACTGGGTTAAACTTTATTACCAAGTATTTTATTTTTTTCCTTCCATGTTAAAAAAGGAATCCTTTTTGATGTGCATTTCTTTTCTGGAAAGAAAATTTTCAATATCTCCGATTTTACAGGGTTAATTTTCAGATTTGATAGCTCTCCGTAATCTATTATTCTCATTAAAATTAGGTAATGTTAGTCTAGGGTTTGTAATATAAAACAGCATATCATATGTATAAGCTGCAACTTTATGTTCGACGTCTCCCATCCAAATTCCTTTAAGGTCTACACTATTTCTCAGTTGCCAGTAACGGCTCCAAAGAAACTACAGAGGAGAAAGTGGGCACCCCTGCCTTGTTCAATTGTGCATTCTAAAAAACTTTGACAATGATCTGTTAACCTTTACTGCCACTGATGGGCTTCTATATAACTATGATCCACTTTAACATTATGGGCCCAATTCCTAGTATCTCCAGTGTATCTATCATAAATCCCCAATCTACTCTATCAAAGTCCTTTTCAGCATCTAATTGATAAGATAACCATGAGGCCTTAACTTTTCTAGTTTTATTGCAGGAGGACCAATTATCTTAATCAGTTATCCCCTCCTTCTCTACCCGGAAGGAATCCAACCTGATCTAAGTGTATGCATTCCAGCATCAGCTCTTAACCTAGTTGCCAATACCTTTGCATATAACTTTGTATCAGAATTTAATAAAGATATAGGTCTATAGCTGGTACACTGGAACCAGTTTTTCCCCTTCTTAGGCATAACTAATATGCCTGTAGAGA